AGTCATGTTGGAGATCAGTATCAATAGATCACTGGAATTCCGATGGCAAGTTCCTCTCAGCAACGCTCCATACGGTAGATAAGGGAAATGCCTGCTTTCAAAAGACAGAGTTTTCGTAGGGGATTCAGCTACCGCTTGTAAGCCAAACATAACGTTTTAGGCACTAACGACGAACCTTTAGTTCATATATGCATAACATGGACCGGTGGCAAATAGCGGGATTTCCCCAATTTTCGGGGCTCGTACTATTTTGTGATGGACAATAACGACAACATGACACGCGATAAGCCCAGACTCTGAGGTACTTCATCACTAATATTTCATCCATTTCGAGGTTATCTGAAGCCCGTTGTATCGCCACTGACACAAGAGCATTCAATTGGTGCGGTCGAATGGAACTCGCGGGACTTTTGCCACTTTTTTTTTCGAAGCGTTGTTTTTTTTTCTTTCACTCCAACCGTAAGTCATGACGTGGTCCCCAGGAATCATAAATAATGACTCGCCACATATTCAAGATACGACTATGGAGAGAATCTGAAATCTCGATTAGGGTCACGCCCTGGTGCGTGCACGAACACTTCCAGTCGCAAAGTTACGACATTTTTTTGTCACGCGCCCGTGACTTCCCATTTCTGAAGCCGTGCAGCTGCCGCCTTAAACCGAACAGCGAATTCCTTTAAGCTGGCTCTGCTGCATAAGTAACTGCACGCACGGAGTGAAAACTCTGACCTCTAATAAGCAAGCATGGTGAAGAAGAAAAACGTTAGAAAAAGAAGAGAGAGAAAGAAAACATGGCCTAACACCTTTCTGAGGCGATTCATCATGAAAATCAGCGTGCTTACAAGTCCGGCCGCCTCAACTAAACGGTGTATGGGAGAGAGGGGGGGGTCAGCACAGTTGTGTGAGCTGTCCAAGAGTCTTGAACAGTCTTCTCCAGATCCGGTTTCAGTAGTCGGCTCTCTTTCGCAGGCGGCTTCTACAAAGCCCTTGGGCGTCACAACCAAATCTAACGTAAGCAGGTGCGCATGGTTACACCTTCGCAATTTTTCAGCAGTATTGCGTAAGCATTAACACCTGCACATGGTAAAGCGCTTAATAAAGGCGAGAAGCAAGGAGTTTCTTACATGATGATTGAATGATATGCGGGGCTAGACGTCCCAAAACCGCCACATGATTAAGAGAGACGCCGTAGTGGAGGGCTCCGGAAATTTTGACTACCTACAGTTCTTCAACGTGCACCCAATTCTGAGCACGCGGGCTTACAGCATTTCCGCCTCCATCGTAAATGCAGCAGCCGCAGCCGGAATTTGATCCTGCGACCTGCGGGTCAGAAGCGGAGTACCTTAGCCACTGTATACCACCGCGGCGGGGCACATGATACGAACGCAGAGAGCATGCGAAGATAGTGCGTTACCACAGTCTGCTACACGTTTGCCCAGAGATGCACAGACAATATCAGCTTTATCTGTCCTATCTTGCGTTCTGAAAAGTGGTGTGGTTTAACGCTAATCGCCCCACTGCGGATCTGGTTGCTTGTCGTCGATGTCAGAAACTACCATATCGGCTGGTCTACGCAATTAGTGCGACATCATTAAAAATATAGTAATTTTTGGTGTTTAACGTCACAATACCGCAATATGACCATGAGGGACGTCCTATAGATGAGGGCTCGGAAAAATTTTGACCACCTGGAGTTCTTCGACTTGTACCTAAATGTAAGTGCAGACGGAATCACCCATGTCAATAGCGACGGAAAGCTTGGCTGTGGACGCTGTTTCTTTCAGTGGCTGCTATACCACACGTTAGCTATACAAGCAACGATCGTGCTTGAATTAGAGCACAATGTCATAGCATGCAGTATGAGTATGTTAAGCATCATTACGGCGTTGGTCGTTACATAGTATTGTGATAAAAAAAAAAGCGGCTGGAGTGACTTTATGCTTAAAGGGGCCGTGACATCTAACTTTCGATCAGTTCTGTGGATTAATCCCTGTGCATTCACAAATAAGCTGGCAAAATATTAGTGTATTAGGTCTAGTAATTAATTTACAACCAGTTATACTTGTGAACACGCGAGTGGCCCCACAGTCGGACAAGACTGGTGCACTCGTGAGTCGTGACGTAACAAGCAACTAGCTTTGTGAGAGTGTATTCATTCCGGCGAACGATATCGTCCCTTGGTCAGCTGCGCGTTATATCGAGATATTTTAGCTTTCTTCGACGTGACACTGCAATTGGACGATTTGCCGCGGCTGCAACTTTGGTAAAGGATGGCTGCTATGCTCCGTGTCATACATGACGTCACACACGCCATGTCAAAACGGCGGTCGCCGGCGGTGCAGGGGGGGAGGGCACGGGGGGGCCGCAGCCTCCCCAAAAACCTCGCGTGCCCCCCTTTGCCCATCCAAGAGCAATCGTATATAACAAATAAAGCATATGTTCTGTGCGTCCCTGCCCCCCCCCCCTGAATGAACGCAAATGTTGTCGCCCCCCTCCCCCGCCCATACGAAAAAAAAAATCCTGGCACCGCCCGTGTGGCGCTGGGTGGGATTTACAGCCGGTGACTTCTATAGGGCTTGTTTTGCTCTGAAACATTCTTTTACGGCCCACTTTTTGAAATCTTAATGGGCATAATATACACTGTACTTCTAATTTTCGCCGATAAACAACGAATCTTCGAGTGACCATGTCATTGCCCCTTTAAATAACATAGCGCGCTACATTAAAACAGCGTCATGTCTTTATATTTGTCCGTTGCGGCAATTATTGGGTTCTCGCTGTACACAGCTTTCGGGCTTTGTGTTGTCCACTTGTTGCAGCTGAGTGTTCTAAAAGTGTTCTGCAGCGTGAGTATATACTCACCTGGAGTCAGTCGGCGCCGGTGGCTCGGTTGACATCGCTGTTTCGTCACCTTGGCTTGAAGTGTGCCGACCAAATTCTTCCACTTTTCCACCCACGTTTATAACGCGCGCAATGATGTCAACAGGTGTCGTGGCTGCCAGCTAAGGCACAAAATAAAGTCCTTCTTCTGGGCTAGTTCGTTCTAGCAAAATGAGGATCGGGAGCACAAGCGAGGCAAGAAGAAAGACGAACTAGACCGCGCTCTCTTGTCTGTTTCGTCTTCCCCTTTTCGTGCTTGCGCAGTATACGCCACCCGTTCACCGAGGAGAAGAAAAATTCATGAGGGCGAGTTACGTGATTTGAAACAGATAAAACTGCGCAGGGGGCGGAACACAAGTAGCAGTAGACAGAGGAAGAGCGCAGATTCTTGTACTTGTGTTCCGTTCCCTGCGCTGCTTTTCTTCTGTTTCAATGCCGTACCAATGTCGCCCCTCAATGTATATTTTGTACCCCACCGAGTTACGGCGAGAACGACACCGAGTTCAAAGGCGGAAAGACAGTTTTCTCGCTTTAACCACCCTTACTACAAGCGATATCTCCTCCTCTCCACTTCATGTCGCAGGTTCGAATCCCGGCTGCGACGGCTGCATTTCTGATGGAGGCGGAAATGTTAGGCCCGTGTGCTCAGATTTGGGTGCACGGTAAAGTACCTCGCTTGGTCGAAATTTCCGGAGCCCTTCACTACGGCGTCTCTCATAATCGTATGGTGGTTTTGGGACGTTCAACCCCACATATCAATCAATCTCCTGTCCACTTAAGAAACACGTGGATTGTTATCAGTGAGCGTTCAGGATTTCGGACTTTCCGATTACACGCTCCGTTTTCGCTTGCGCAGTCGCAAATGCAGCAAACGAAGTTAAATCTGTTTATCGCGCTTAATTGCCATGGGAGCCGGAGCAGGACTGGCATACGAATGCATGCATGGAAAATCAGGCCAAGGGAGAATTCACAACAGATATCCCTCGTATATCGACGGATCAAGAGCTTATTTATTCTTGACGTCGCGCGAGTAATACGCTGACGTCATGAATTTTGCCCCGTAGACGAGAAACGCCAGGAGAGTAATGTACTTGTTTCTTTGTTTTGTTTGTTGTTGTTGTTTAGGGACGGTTCAGGGGTCATTTAAGCCCGACCAACAGCGCCCCCCCCCCCCTGCTCTTACCTGTAAAGAACAAATCAAATTCGAGATCATGCCGGGAATCCGAACATTAACAGATGGCCGCGTAAAATTATGGGCACGCCTAATGTTTCTTGCCTGGCCTCGGCTCCCACTTGTCTGGGGAGTACTGATGACTCTGTAATCCCCTGCCAACGTGTGCAAAGTGCATGCGGTTCGTTTCGACTTCCAGCGTCGATTTTCCTGTGTCCAATATATCTCTGCAGTGCAACTATGAAACTTACAATCGTGAAGAAGGCTTTGTTGCTTCAAGTGTAAGAGAGAGGGAGAGAGAGAATTTATTTACAGAAAGGTAGAGAGGTCGGCCTGTTTGCTCTGGCCTGCTACTCTACAATTCATGTGCAAACTTAATCCTTGTCCCTGTGACCAGACTGTGGAATTTCAATGTTGTCACGTGACTGGACTGGACGCCCTGCCACGGTGGTCTAGTGGTTTTGGCACTCGAATCCCGGCTGCGGTAGCTGAATTTTCGATGGGGGCTGTAGTGTTTGAGGCCCGTGTGCTTAGATTTAGGTCCACGTTAAAGAACACCAGGTGGTCGAAATTTCCGCCGCACTCCACTACAGCGTCTCTCATAATCATATCGTGGTTTTGGGACGTTAAGCCGTATATTGCGCCATATATTGTTAATATAACTGGACTCGACAATATCTCTTGCATACACATCTACGATAATGACAGTTTTCTGATAGGCCACGACACATACCGGTTGTTCGAAGTCCCGCACAAATTACGATCAGTTCGCATTTTACAAAGGGTAGATTGCGAACCATCGCTGTCTATAGTCACCTTGCTTGGTCACGTCATCAATGACATTCTAAACCTTATCATCGTCAACGAATTATCATTGTTGCCTGATCACGTGACCCTACATACAGATACGCACAAGGCGGCCTACAGCGAGTAAAGAGTAGTACGAATCACACGACAGTACAGTGTCTGCGGCTGCCCCTGTGGCATTCTCAGCCACCAGCCATGCGTTCTAGAACTATTGTCTCCCTGTTTCTTCTCGGCATCTTCGTTCTGTCCATCGTCGCCGCGGTGGCCATTTTGTTCGGTGAGTGATGCCCTGTTGAATGATGGCTGTATTCGCTGCGAAAATCACGGCGACACGTAAAAAACACAAATAGAAAAACAGAATGCAATGCTTAGCACACGTATACGGTGGCTGTAACAGCGCACAAAGCGTGTGCTTTGGACATAGTTCTGTTTCTAAGCTTTTAATACTGACTGTACCTTCAATCTGATTTCGAGCAACCTTTCTTTTTGTGGGTGCAAAGTCCCAGTTCGCGTCGTATTTCATTGCGAAGCCAATCGCTTTCCTGCGCTGTTATCTGGCTTAGTTGAACAAGCAGGCAAACATTTTCATGAAAAGCAGCCAGCATGGGCACGATTGAGCAAAACTATACGTACCATTGACGCATGCGTATACTTCTGTCAACTGTGCTGTGCAGTGGCTGCTCTCATGAGTCTTTCTGTGACAGATTCCATCCGAGCAATGCTTTGAAAGCAGACGCCTCGCCATTGAACGACGACTCCAGCACACGTTTCCAGAATAACAGATAGGTGCGCGAGTTGGTTTGGGTTACTGGTGGAAAGGTTTATAGCGCCAAAGCGTAACAAAAGGAATGAAGCGAAGACAAGACAGCACATGTCTTTTCTTCTGTTACGTTCTGGCACTGCCTTTCCGTCAGTATGTATGTTTACTACTTGCTATACCCTTTGCACATTTCATTTGGAACTGTGACGGAAGAACCAATGAGTCTAATGTTTTAAGTAAACAGTGACTGGTCTCTTTTCTAGGACCAACGCTATGGTTCGCCAGTTCTCCAGCCAAGTGCGACAAGGCGGCAAAAATGAAACTGCCGTCGCCGCATACCGACGCCATGGGCGTCGCGCCGAAGGACGAAGGCGCCGCAAACCCGGTTTCGTCACCGTTCCGTCACATGGCGCGTCCCGACGTCGTCACCGACACGGGCGTGACCCTGGCCCAGCCCCGTCACGTCGCGAAGCCGACCCGTTTTCACGTCGTCCTCCTCATGCTCGGTCTGTTGGTGTTGTGGGTGCTGCGTACCACCGGACTCCTGCTACCGGGGCTGGCAGCCGTGGCGGCCCTGGGAGCCCTCATGGTGCCCCTGGGCCAGCGACAGGCGTCCACGGAGACCGGAGGAGGGCCGTCTTGCGGTCTCAGCGCCATCTGCCGCTTCACCGAGACGGCTCGTAACAACGTGCACCTGCGCATGGAACTGGCCGGCCTGCCGGCCCCGTACATGAAACACGTTGGCCGCATCTTCGCCCTACTGGAGAACGTCAACTGCGACCGCATCGAGCAGACTTGCAGTCGCGTGTCCTTCTCAGACTTTCTTCCTTTCTGAGGAGACCAAGGTCCTCGAAACGGCGCCTGGTTAGAGGCGAACCGTCTCAAGTGTGAGTGACAAAGGACATTACACTTACCTGCATGCATAACTTGGACTGGCACAATCCAAGATTAAGCCTCATCTGCATTTGTATAAAAAATAGAACCAGCACCAACCCTCATCTTCATTTGCAATAAAAAAAAAAACATTGTCCGATTCTGCGTGCGATCATCTTTATTCGTTAGGCGGGTACTTGCCCTTTGAAATGAAATAATCCCGAGCAGCCGACTGTACTGTTTCATGCATTAGGTGCAAAACTGTGCAAGCTAAGGAAAATTCTTGTAGTGAATGCGTTTGTACCAAGAAATAGTTTTATGAATTTACGACGTGTAACGGGATTTTTTTTATTTGTTTAGAATAACTAAAGTGATTTGTGCGCAAGGAACAAACGGATCCGTTATTTACACCATTAACAGGCTGTTTTGCCTCGCTTAGTGATTCTTCATATTCGTATCGTGGCCTCCGCGATTAGTTCCGGTAGCGCACAGCCGGAGCCAGTTCAGGTCACGTTTACGACGACTGAGTCCAAGCGCAAGCCACGCGGTCCTAAACGTTTTTGCTGACAAAAATTCTTGCCCATCTTGAACTGCGTTGCACTCCATGTAAAAAGGGAGTATTTTTATTTTTTTTGTCTTTTTGTAAGTATTGCAGAACCGTATGCGACCCCCTTTTACTGGCGGATTAGTGAACCATGCTGACCTATCACTATATTTAAAAAGAAAACATTTTAAGGAAGTGAAGTTACTTCATAATAACGGCATATTTGTAAACGTTCATGCTGCCATTGCTTTCAAATAATCTTGAGCATTGCGCTTGTACGATTTCAATGATCGAGAGATGCTTACGCATCTTTGATATACATAAAAATTCATAAAGGATTAGTCCGGAATGTGTTTATTTCAATCACGTATTTGCGACTTGTATTGTAGAATACTTTTGCTGCCTTTTTTTTTTTGCCACTGATAATGCATACGGCTTTGATACTGCCATCTTACGATTTTAGGCCCACGTTTTGCGTCAAGCATTCTGCATTCAGTTTTTACGGCTCGTCGAAAATTTTGCGGCTCACTCTCACGTTAAACACCTTATTAGACTCGCAGTGTCTTACTGCATCAAACAAGAAAGCGTGCCCAAGATCGGTTATATTTCACTAAAATTAACTAAAAAAATGACGTTTCGGCTACCCTGCGGTAGCCGAAGCGCCATTTTTTTTTATATTCTAAACTTCTTTTTTTCATTTTGGTCAGTGCCATTTTATTTAATTTGTATTTTCATACTTCTTCACGAGCAGACGACGCATCGTCAAACCATCGATTACACATGTACAGCCACCCATTCTTTTTAACCTGAACGCGCGAGCATCGACCGAAGCGCCTGTTCAGGGCGTCATGTTTCCGGAGCAGCCTAGCAGAATGGCGGTGCACAGTACTGTTGATCGCAGGTATGCACGTATCCGAGTTGCCTTTGGCGCTGTGCTCAGTTAAAACTCCGCTTGTCGACTGGATGGACGACGCTCGCGCCTTCAGGTTAAAAAGTTGCGCGGCTGTACAGTCCACATACAGTACTCGCGGAATCAAACACGACCCCAATTGTTTTAAATGCGAAGCATTTCTTACGGAACTTCGGCGACTTTGAGCGCATCTATCTATATATCTATCTATCTATCTATCTATCTATCTATCTATCTATCTATCTATCTATCTATCTATCTATCTATCTATCTATCTCGCCAACTACGACTGTTAGCTCTCCTGGCCGTTTCGATAATCGTATCGAAACCAAACTTGATATGGCATAACTGACTGTGAAGAACATATTTGACTATAGTCATAACATGAAAATCATAACATGTATGTCATGAATGTCATGATTTACATTTCATGGTCCTGCAGCTCTTGCGGTGGTTTCGTTCACATGGTTTGTTGCAAAACTGGTATGTTATGACATGATTGCATGGCGAAAACAAGCGACAAACCCTAACATGAAAATTACGGCATGCGTGTCATGTAACAACATGACTATACATGCTACGATTATGATGCGCTCGCGGCTGTTTCGCTACCGGCACATATACCAAGTTTGGTATTATGGTAAACATATACCAAGTTTGGTATTATGGTATGACGAAGGTATGTGACTGGTTCAAACATGATAATCATGAGATGCGTGTCACGTAACAACATGACTACATGTCATGCTCATGATGCGCTGGCGGCCGTTTTGCTGGCTTCACTTATACCAAACTTGGTATTACGGGACGTGAATGGATGACGAAGGTGTGATACTGGTGCAAACATGATAAACATGAGATGCGTGTCACGTAACAACATGACTACATGCCATGCTCATGATGCACTGGCGGCCGTTTTGCTAGCTTCACTTATACCAAATTTGGTATTACGGGACGTGAATGGATGACGAAGGTGTGACACTGGTGCAAACATGATAAACATGAGATGCGTGTCATGTAACAACATGACTACATGCTACGCTCATAATGCGCTCGAGGCCGTTTCGCTAGCTTCACATGTCCCAAACTTGGTAGTACGCGACGCGAACGCACGACATAGGTAAATGACACATCCAAACATGATAATGACGACATGCGTGTCGTGTAACAACATGACTACATGCCACACTCATGATGCGCTTGCGGCCAGTTCGCTAGCTTCACGTATGCCAAATTTGGTAATACGTGACGTCAATGGATGACGAAGGTACATGACTGGTGCAAACATGATAGTCATGAGATGCGTGTCATGTGAGAACATGACTACATGCTACAGTCAAGGCGCCAATACACTTCGACGTGACGTGGTGTGCGGGCTTGCTGGCGTTCATTTCCTTGCGTCACGCCGGCGTTGCCATGCCAGGCGCCGGTCCTGCCATATACTTGCAGGCGCGCGCCGCGCTGCGTTGCTTTGACGCATGCGCGTTCCAGCGCGTCCGGCGTCCCTCCGTCACGTAAAGAGGTAGACGCAGTGTTCTCTGGGTAACGCATCGGCGCGAATTTTGCACCGGTTGCCGTCTGGCAGTGCCGACGGACGCTGGTAGCTCCGGTCGCGCCTGGCGTCAGACTATAGAGTGCTCGCGTTTTGCTAACGTAGCGTCGCTGTGCCCAATGCTACATCGGAGTATATTGGGCCCTTTATGACGCACTGGCGGCCATTTTGCTAGCTCCACATATATCAACTTTGGTGTTACGTGACGTCAATGGATGACGAAAGTATATGACTGGTGCAAACATGATAATCCTGACACGCGTGTCATGTAAGAACATGACAACACACCACGCTCATAGCGTGCTCGTGGCCATTTAGCTAGCTTCACATATACTAAATTTGGTATCACGTGACGTGAATAGATGACGAAGGTAAACGACACATCCAAACATGATAATCATGACGCGCAAGTCATGTACGGCATCATTTACCTCCACCTCGTAACGTTCTGCTGACTTTGAAGTGACATATAAACATTTCTCATTGGTGCTTCGCATATCATCAATTCCCACTGTACGTGGGATCTGCCCTTTTTTGTGTTTTTTTTACGGTATGACGACTGGTACACTCAATCACGACGGACAACTATGTCGCTACTAATCTGGTTTATTGAGATAAAATTCGCTCCGATCTACGCGTTCAAGTCGAAAATATGGGATGAAACTATCTGTGCAAGCTCGATATGGAACTTTCTGCGCGCACACTAGGCTAATGGCGCATGTCGTATCACGGCACACCGTAGTTTAAACTCGCAGTTTTACCAATAGGAACTGTCAGAACCGCAACCGCAAAGAATTCCTGTCTGTCACGCGCTAGTACAGCGCGCGGTAGAAAAATAGGCTGCCTTACGCGATCGTGCCCGTAGCTATAGATCACGCTATGGATCGTTCTGGATCACTACTCGTTGAAGCCAAAGACGGTGGAGACCCACAACGCCAAACCGTTTCTGCACTGATCTCACGTTTGCAAGCAGACTGTGTGACGTAACAATGGCAGAGCCTCTGACCGTCTTCAACAGGGATCACAATGCAATACTGGGCAAATGTGTATTCGTCCGTGCAAGTGTAGGTCCACGTGCGTAATAAACGGTTACAGGACCTAAAAGTAACTATAGCTTAACGGCATGTACCTTATAGAAATTCAACGTTTAAAGAAGGGAAATCAAGTAATAAAATCACCTGCTTTGCAACAGGTCACTCAGCATTTCTTCGGGTCGTCGGGTGGTCGTTAGCTTTGGACTTTGACCCCAATTCAGCTTGCACTCAAAACAGCTTCACATTTAACCGCGTTTCTCTAGGAATAGTCTTTTAGTTTTTTTTTTCTAAATCGCAACTGCCTGCTAGAAAGTAAAACTGGCATTATCAACGGCGTAGTGTGACTTGACTTTTGGTTCACCCTATGAAAACGGCTAGACCATGATTGCCAGCTACCAAGGAGAAGTATACGTACCAAACTGACGTTTCAGGAGCTCACGTTAACAATCGGGCATCACCGTGTTCAAAGGGTGCCCGCCTCCCCCCCGGGCCCACGTCACTCTGGTGTCTAGACGCCATATAGACCACGGAGCTTCCGCTACCTCAGCGACATGCGATAAGCCGAGCAAGCAAGCCCACCGCGAGCCCCCGGGATCCACCTGATTACGCATCCTATAGGTTCGTTTATCATTCTTTATTTTCGTAACAGCAAAATGAACAACAAAAAGATGTGAAAGACCGTCGCGAACCTCGGCGAACGCAGCTCTCACTTTGGTCAGTAAACGACATCGGCTGGAAGAGCCTGGAAATCTTTCTTTTTCTTACTCACGTAACTTGTTTTTTTTTTTTTCTTCTAGTTCGTCGGGGCATGGAAATGCATTAAATCCGAGTACGGCATTAACAGCCCGGAGCCGCTCACGTTACCTACGTACGATCTGCTGTCTCGCGGTATCCCGAGATTTATGCGTGATCGACCCGGCGGTAGAGTTTATGACGGACACCTTAGCTTCTCCGAGGGACACCGCCGTGAGGCACCGTTGGTTCGGTAAAGGCCGTAAAACGGCCGCCACGAATCAAACGTGCGTGCGTACGATCATCCTACCAACTGCGTGCACCCTTCGATCACGCATTTTCTCGAGGCCCGATCCGGGAGGGTATATCTTGGCCAGCACCGGGGACGACGGAGGATCGCTTTCGGGCAGGCAGAAAGTGACAGTGACCAAGATGAGGACCTACGCCTTCCCCTTGGCGGTCGCCGCTGCGGTAAGCAAGTGTAGACTTGATATTGAAGAAGCATCGCAACATACAGGGACACGGGACGGAACAGGAATACCAGACGACCACTGCTCTTTCTCTGGTCCCTATCTTTCGCCCTACTTGTTCAATGTTAATTACCAAAACTCGCCCAAGTTCCACTTCTTGTAAGTGTAGGCTTTCACGGCAGATCCGTAGAGAGCGTTCGTTGGTTGGGAGACGTGCTCCCACTGAAAGCTGAAGACGTGCTGGAACGAACAGTTGCCCATGCTCGGGGACATGCTATATGATTGGTACGCGGGAATTCATAAGTGTCCCGAAAATCACTTGGTTTTAAATATTGCATCATGCCGCGTTTTCTCCCACTAAAATGAGCCCTGCACATTGTTTTACCGATATTCAATTGCGTTGAGAATTATAGAAAAGAATAAAGACAGAGTGTTTCGCAGTGCCGAGATAAGTCAGCTTAGCGACAGTATTTTCCTGCAGTTTGCAAGTATACATTAGGGGGAAATAACAGAGATGAGGACGTCTCGTGATGCATTGGACAGGTAATCGGTGGCGACTTGCTGCAACGCAGCCAATAACTGCTGGAACTCGGCTGATCAAAAGGCAAGGCAATCGTAGATCACGAGAAGTATTCGTCCGTTTGCGGACAACGAAAAAAAATTATGATGCTGATAATGATGACGACGACAATGATCGGCTATTATCAAACTATGATAAGGTCTGTCACCTCTTGAAATTGGATGCGATGCACGAAGTCTGAATTCCAACAAGACGCACGTCTTCGAGACTGCAGAGCTACAGTCCGCCTTCATGCACGTAGCTTTTGCTCCTGTTATTTTGCGTTTAAATAAACAAAATCACTAAGAAATTCGAACGTTCGACATTCTTGCTGATCGGTGCTGATCGTCGTAATATTTACGACGATCAGCACCGATGAGGCTTTCTAAGCTTCGACTTAAACTACCTCGTCTTTAAAACAAAGCTTCAGTAGCAGATAAGGGCCATAGTGAAAACGTCATAGTTCTATATGTGTGCATTTGATTTGGCTACATCCGTTCAATAACAGACAACCGTTTGACCCGATGACATACTCCTCCATTTCTTCTAGATCTCGTTAATGTTTTTATTTTATTTTCTACAGGGTCCACATTGTGTTAAAATCATTCAATGCATAAACAGCGCTTTAGAGAACCGGTTGCTGTTTTTTTTTTCATTCAGTACACGTAATATCCAAAAAACTATCAGAACTTTCGAGAATATTGAGTCAATGTTTTGCGCACACACTTTGCTATTTTTAACTTTCTCGCATCTTCATAATCGGTAGCCGCTGTGATGCATGTCATAACGTAGCTTTGCTTTCTTCTCTTGATATACTTGCAGCTTTTTGCCTGTTCCCTGGTCGAAGGTAAGACTCAGCACGTCCACAATTACAAATCTGCTAAATCACCTAAAAATTTGACTTGTAGATAGTCACCTTGCCTCCAAAGCTCTTTTTATTACGGTGCCTTTTCTTTAGTGAGTTGCTTTTTTCATCTTATATATTGAACCGATAACGTCTTTGTTAGGTAATAACTGCCTAGTTACAAGCCGTAGTGTGACTAGTTTTACGAAATTAGTGAGATAACTAAAGCTTTGCACTCGAAGAACTCAGAGCTTCCAAATATTCCGATTTCAAGCGTCTGTTTGTAACAGCAGTGTGTGCCTTGGCATCGAATAGCATCTCGAGATCCCACAAGCATCATCTGCTTACAGAGTGAACGAATAAACTTTATTTAAAGTCCGGCAGTTTCCTTCGGGTGAGGCGGGGGGAAGAGGGGATCAATCCTTGTCGCTTCCCACCCTCCATCGATCATGGTGGCGGTGCCTCAGGTGACCGCTCAGAGTCCTTGGACCCGGGCGGCACCTTCGGCTTGCCGACGGCCCAAAGCTGGTCTGCTAGCCTATAGCTAAAGGCCCTAAATTTTAAACGTAGCAACACTCTCCTGCACGCACGCGTTTTCCTCCTTGATTATTTTTCGGATTTTTGCCCTCTTCTGGCGACGCGGCGCTGAACCCTCCAATGGTTCACTGTAGCCGCATCAGAATAAATGCGCATGCGTGTTTATTCGACTCTTGACGCGTTATACGAGATTTTGTCACTTGAAAGAAACCATCTTGATGAAATTAGGCTTCAGGTAGAACACAGTGGTTGATATGCATCTATTATGCGCTTCATCCTCATCTGGACAGCAGTCAATCATCATCACCTGTTCTGGCTGACAGCGATCATCGTCTTTGAACGGGCGCTTCATCTTCGGGTCCGTTGCGCTTGTTCGTTACCGAGTCCACGGCCAATAAACCTCGTTACAACCGAGTAGTCATACGTGGTGGAGGTGGAGTGACGATTTCGGTCCTCTCCCCACAACGTCTACTCGCTGGAACTCCGTTCAGGCCACCGCTTGTACCCTCAGTTTGCCAACATGTCTCAGAGTGAGTGGGCGGACGCCCTTTCTGCTCCCATCCCTGCGCCGCAAGCCCCTCCTCTTTACATCGTAAACCACCAGCGCGACCCTCCGATCTTCGCTGGTCTCCGCGGCGAAGATGTGGAGTACTGGCTCGATAACTACGAGCGAGTAAGCGCAACTAATCACTGGGACGACTCTAACAAGCTCCGCCGAGTATCGCTTTATCTCACAGGCGTTGCCGAGACACGGTTCTTGAACCAAGAGATTGACTTCATCGACTGGCCTGCCTTCAAGCAGCAGCTTCGCCAAGTATTCGGCACACCTGCCGTTCAATCCCCTCTAGCGAAAAGAACCCTAGATACTCGCCAACAACATCCCGGTGAGTCGTACACATCGTACATTGAGGATGTCTTTGCGTTCTGCCAGCGCGTTAATTTTTCGATGTCCGAGTCAGACAAACTGCGTTACATCTTGAAAGACTTCGGAAGCATTGCCTACAATGCCATTGTTGCTCAGAATCCTTCTACTGTCGCTGACGCCGTCTCTACGTGTCAGCGTCTCGACGAACTTGATTCTGTTCGCCTTCACTCGGGCAATAGCGAACACCGTCCAGCAGGCCGGGACCTGCGTGACATGATACAGGAGATCATACGCGAAGAACTCCAATCAATGGGCTTCTCACCACCTTCTCCATCTGTCACACAGCCTTCAATTATGGCCTTGCGTGACATCGTAAGGGAGGAACTAACATCATTCACCAGTCCAGCCCAAGTACAGCCACCTCCGTCCAGCCCGCCAACGTACGCGCAAGTTTCGGCCGCGCCTCATCGCAACGTAAACTCTACGTTGCCGCTGCCATCGCTCACGTCCGTTGCTGCTGCACCACCGGTCCACTGCCGGCCAATGCAGCCCGACCCTCCGTCTGCCCACTTGAGTGCGCTATCTCCCGGTGCGCCGAACGCCTTCTACTACCCGTCTTCGCGCCCGTCTCGCCCAACACGTTTTTACTGTGGATATCGTGGCCATATATCGCGCTTCTGCTGCATGCGCCTGCAGGACGAGCGTCGCGGGTACGACATGCGCGAACGGTACTTTTCCAGTGGGTATTATTACGCCCGGCGTTATTCATCTGGACAGCAGCGGTCTCCATCTTCGCCCGCATCGACTGAGACGTGGAACACTTACCATTCAAGCCGACGCCGATCACCTTCGCCCTTTCGTCGCTCACCCTCTCATCTTTGGCCAGCCTCGATTACCACTGACAACCAGTTGAAAAACTAAATGATGCAGTTTCCGGAGCAAAAAACTGCATGTGTATGACCACAAACAGCATGTGAGACTACAAGTGGTGGAGTCTGCTGGGTTTCGATCAGCCTGGAGTTTCGGAATCGCATTTTACGGTCCATTGTGCCTACCGACGCAAGAGGCACTCCAACTCCTCCACCGGCACCGCCTACTGTCTTCTGCACCGGCTCTCTGCGTCTGCGAGATCCCCCTGTTTTCTCAGGCACAGAAGACAAGGACGTTGATGACTGGATTTCTATGTACGGGCGAGTGAGTGCTCACAACAAATGGTATGACGCCGCCAAGTTGGCCTACGTCTCTTTCTACCTGTCGTACGTGGCCAAGCTGTGGTTCATAAACCACGAAGCTGAACTCCCTACATGGTCGGTCTTCAAAACGAGCCTCACACAAGTTTGCGGACGGCCTGAGGTACGCAAACGCCGTGCCGAACAACGCTTGCATACTCGGTCTCAGCATATTGGTGAGAATTTCACAAGCTATATTGAGGAAGTTCTAGACCTTTGCAAGCGAGTTAACGGGTCGATGTCCGAAGAGCTTAAGATCAAGCACATCATGAAGGGCATTGAGGACGACGCTTTCCAAATGTTGCTTTCTAAAAGTCCTCGCACTGTCGTAGAACTGACCGATTTATGCCAGAGTTTCGACGAGTTGCGCAGGCAACGTCCTTCCACCCGACGTCCCTCGGGCGCCCGACAACTCTTTGTCTAGCCTGTCCACCCTTGGCATAGGAGACGACCATGCTCCTCTTCTCTCAAAGATGCAAGAGTTCAGCCGCGCTGAGGTGGCTCGTCAACTCTCTTTGATGACCTGTGTATCCGATCAACCACGCAGATTGACGTCTACACTGCACGACTTCATTCAAGATCAGGTCGCACAAGCTCTTCCTCCCGCCCGTAAACAGCCGCCTTCAAGCTACCACTGGGTTTTAGCCGTACTTTCTTCTATACAGACGAGAGCCTTCCAATACAGTAGACACTATTCTGCCATATAAACCTGATGAGTCCGAAAGTGCAACTCTGTCCGAAGCTACCCGACACGCTGAAGAATGCCGCCAGCTTGCCTGCTCATTTTCTACCAAGGACCAGTGGCAGCAGCTATCCCGCCAACCTGGGGACCGTCCGGCTCCGAACTTTCCATACTGCGCCATGTATGACGACTCGGTTGTAACGCGGTTTATCGGCCGTGAACTCGGGAACGAACATATATATATATATATATATATATATATATATATATATATATATATATATATATATATATATATATATATATATATATATATTGCGCTTCAATAAATACAAGCGGAAGCATATAAACAAAAAGATTACCAACTAGCGCCTGAGTTTACCCCGTCTACTCTTCGGCTGTCCCTAATGCTCACGCGTGTTGAGCGCTATAATGTAAGCGCATAACGCGCTATAGTGTAAGCGCCTAAGAACAGACTCCAAAGCAATTGGCCTCAGAGTTCGTCCCTTTCTAACCTGCATAGTGAAGTGAGCGTTGGAAGCGACATTAACTTCTTCAGCACACTCCCAATGCATGTGTCGCAGTGTGGCCCTTTCCCCGCACGCTTTACATGCGTCCGCCGAGTATAGGCTTGGATAACACAGACGTAGTTGAAACTTTCTAGTTCACGGATAGGAAAACTTTCCGCATTTGGTGATTTCTGGAAACCGTGAACAGCTACGAGTTGCTAACTTCTCAGCTCTCATAAACATTTGAGGCAGTCCTTTTTTCTCAAAAGCTCATTGCACGCAGGAACATACTCTAATGAAAATAATGAACATTTCCTTCTCAAATAGGACGGCACAGTAACGAACAAGCAAGGTTTCTAGAACAACAATACCAGACTAAGGGAGCCATCAAGGGAGCCATCCTTCAACAGCAACAAGCATCACAGGTCAAGGGAGCCCTCAAGGGAGCAATCAAGGGTGGTCTCCTTCAGCAGCAAGCACAAGCTCAAGTCCAGGGAGCGCTTAAGGGAGCTGTCAAAGGAGCACTCCTTCAGCAACAACAGGCATCGCAGGTCAAGGGAGCACTCAAGGGAGCCGTCAAGGGAGCACTCCTTCAGCAACAACAGGCATCGCAGGTCAAGGGAGCCCTAAAGGGAGCCATCAAGGGCGGTCTCCTTCAGCAGCAAGCCCAAGCTCAAGTCCAGGGAGCTCTTAAAGGAGCTGTCAAGGGAGCACTCCTTCAGCAACAACAGGCATCGCAGGTCAAGGGAGCACTCAAGGGAGCCGTGAAGGGAGCACTCCTTCAGCAACAACAAGCTTCGCAGGTCAAGGGAGCCCTCAAGGGAGCTGTCAAAGGAGCACTTCTTCAGCAACAACAAGCTTCGCAGGTCCAGGGAGCCCTCAAGGGAGCGGTCAAGGGAGCACTCCTTCAGCAACAACAGGCATCGCAGGTCAAGGGAGCCCTCAAGGGAGCCATCAAGGGTGGTCTCCTTCAGCAGCAAGCCCAAGCTCAAGTCCAGGGAGCGCTTAAGGGAGCTGTCAAAGGAGCACTCCTTCAGCAACAACAGGCATCGCAGGTCAAGGGAGCACTCAAGGGAGCCGTCAAGGGAGCACTCCTTCAGCAACAACAAGCTTCGCAGGTCAAGGGAGCCCTCAAGGGAGCGGTCAAGGGAGCACTTCTTCAGCAACAACAAGCTTCGCAGGTCAAGGGAGCCCTCAAGGGAGCCGTGAAGGGAGCACTCCTTCAGCAACAACAAGCTTCGCAGGTCAAGGGAGCCCTCAAGGGAGCTGTCAAAGGAGCACTTCTTCAGCAACAACAAGCTTCGCAGGTCAAGGGAGCCCTCAAGGGAGCGGTCAAGGGAGCACTCCTTCAGCAACAACAGGCATCACAGGTCAAGGGAGCACTCAAGGGAGCCGTCAAGGGAGCACTCCTTCAGCAACAACAGGCATCACAGGTCAAGGGAGCCCTCAAGGGAGCCATCAAGGGTGGTCTTCTTCAGCAGCAAGCTCAAGCCCAAGTCAAGGGAGCTCTTAAGGGAGCCGTCAAGGGAGCCCTTCTTCAACAACAGCAGGCATCACAGGTCAAGGGAGCGCTAAAGGGAGCAATCAAGGGTGGCCTTCTTCAGCAACAAGCCCAAGCCCAAGTTCAGGGAGCCCTCAAGGGAGCCGTTAAGGGTGGTCTCGTTCAACAGGCTGCAGCACAACAGGCCTACCAACAGGCTGCCGCTCAACAACTTGCTGGCCGTTAGACGTAGAACAGTGAATAGGTGTTGCTTGTGCGACAGTGTAGTGTAAAAGACTTGTTCAGGTGCTTAAAAAGTAATAAAATTTTGTTGATGTCACGAAGTTCACTGTTTACTGACACGAAAACGTGGAACGAAGGCCGTGATTGTGAGTCACGACTACCTCCGTAACACCGCACGTCAGCTTATCCCTAAAATCTCAATTTTCCTAATTATAAAACATCAGTATGGTACTTGAAGTGCCAAAAAGATGAAGCTATGAAGTAGACCACTCAAGACAAACGCTACGTTCTTTCTGTATGTACCGTCTCTCTTATAGCTTTACTCAGGTTTTTTTCTTCATACCCATGCAGGCAGGCAGGCAGGCGACAGCGTTACAGAATGCGAAGACGTCAAAATGACAATCAGAACCACCATGCAAGTGAACCTCATAAACTTGCCGCTTCTAAGAAAGATTTCTCGTCATTGCCTTTTCTGAAAAATTATTTACCAAAACAAATGACTTGAACAGGAAGCTCGATCTAGAACCTTGCTACATATCGTCACGTCTTGATCATCAGTTTAATGTTTTCAGGCGTGCAATTTTTTTTTTCGAAGATTGCTTGTTAAAGGCCAGTACCAAGTGGAACAGCCCTCACCATTCGATCGCCATCATGGATGACCCATTGTCTTTCAAGAATGCACATACCGGTTCCACTTTTATCTCTAAAAACTAATAAAAATAATAACTGTTTGAACGTCTTTTATTGTTTATTGTAACCACTCCCTCCATAACATCTTTCTGGGCTCTTGGTGCAGAATGAATGAATAAATAAATAAAATAAATAAATAAATAAATAGCATGAAGTTCGCACTAACTTGCGATAGGCTGGATACAGCGAAGCTGGACAATTTTGAAGTCTAATCTGGTTTCTTCTAAAACTGTAAACCTCATACTTTACAGCAACTGACACCCATAAGTTTTCCTGTCCCAGCGCGAATTTTATGACGATGTATCAAATTCGGTCTCAGTCATAACAACGGTTCACACACCCTCGAATCCTGGGAGGCCCTGATCCGCAGCCCGGACCCCAACGTCCACCAAGCCCTTGCTGCTGCTGTGTCTCGGGGGATTCCGGGCGACGAATAGGGGCGACGAGCAATGTCTGACGTTATTGACTGGGAGACCGAAGCTTGCGCTGAAACCAAACGAGCCATTCCTGACGTTATTAACACCGGAGATAGAAGCTTACGCTGAAACCAAACATTTGCCCGTCGTACGGGCACGTCGTCATTGGCGTGCGGCTTCCATCGCTTCGGGTTCTTCTCGCAACCGCCATTTGCCTTTCCCGTTCCCTAGTATTCTCTCGTTCTACGTGCCGCTGAAGCACTCTGTACACACACTCGCTGAAGCAAACCCGCTGTCCTGGTGTTTATCCCTGGGTTAATCCAGTGGGGAGTAGTAGGCGATTAGTGCTTTTAGCCTAAGTTCAGTGGCACAGACCGGTTCACGATGACGACAGTTTGTGTGTGTGTGTGTGTGTGTGTGTGTGTGTGTGTGTGTGTGTGTGTGTGTGTGTGTGTGTGTGTGTGTGTGTGTGTGTGTGTGTGTGTGTGTGTGTGCACCAAATTTCATGCGACCTGCTTTGAACAGCTTCTCTATTAATGCATAAGTAGACCACCGTTTTAGGAGTGGAAAAGCAACGAACCGAGAAACAACGAAATGCCAATGATGGACCACAAAACTTTGTCCCTTCACTAAATCTGGAATTGTGTCAGGTACCGATACGATCCAGACGCGCACTCGACGCAGACACTGTAATGCACTGCCTGAGATGAATCCAACCTTGAAGCCGAGAACTGGAGTGGTTGGAAACTGGCTTTCCACGCATTTCGGACGCTCAGGGCAAATTGAAAAATAAGAGAGAAAAAAAAAGAAAAAGCTCAGAACCGTATGTAGGACGCTAGAGAACTGTCAGGCGCGTGCCTTTGCTCTCTCTCTCTCCTTTTTTTTCAGTTTTTTTTTTTTTCAAGCGACGTAAATGCATGAAATGGACCCAACCATCCGACCACCATAGTTTCTACTGGGTTACCATAAGTGGTCCACATTCAACTCTCTCGAGGCGCTCGAAGGTGAGAACGGCCGCGCATAGTACGTTATTCTAATAATAAACCAGCACAACATTGACGCCAGGGAAGATATAGGGGACGTTAACTGTACTGTGTTAACTGTATCGTAGCAGTAGACAGATAAATGCGAAGAAATTAAAGTAGACCAAGCGACATCTTTCTCTTAAGCAGGGATCAAGCAGGGACAAAACCTGCTTAATCCGAAAGTGACTGGTTCGGGCTCTGCCATCGGCAATCGGTCGTTTCATCCATTTCAGTTTCTTCAAATCTACATCATATACATTTAAAGGGATACAATTAACGTCCCCTATATCTTCCTTGGCTTCAATATCTGCCTGTCTTCACTAAGGCTGTGTCGAACAAAAAAGCAAGCTCACAGGATTCATTTCCTTCATACACTGCGCTATATCTTACGAAATAAATAAAGAAATTAAGCCCATTCCACAGAACTATGGTGTATTTGTCCTTCACGTTAGGAAGAAAACCATGGCAGCTGAATTTCTTTTTTCTGAAGCGCAGTTTCCTCTAGTAATGTAAAAATACTAGTAGACATATCAAAAAGTAAGTGTCACTCTCCTCTAACACATCAATGTTAACTGCAGAGACTCCGCAGCCGTTGTCGGGACGTTCACGTTCTCTACCTAAGAGCAGGGGTGCTATATGCAGGATGTTCCCAGTTTAGCGAAACTCCGAATCTTTCCGAGCGGTGGTGACACCCCCTTTTGAACGAGACAACTGAACGAAAAGGTCAAACCCAGCACCAGGAAGTGCGATACATTCCATTGGTGACGTTGAAACGCGGTGTCACGCCAGGGGCAAAAGAAAAAATTGGGTGGGGTTCCAGTGCTGTAGCAATGTGAGGGCCGTGCATATTCCCAGTTACAATAAGAGCAGGACGCTGCTTTGCCAGCCTATATGTGGTACGGCAAAATCATGTGTATTAAACACGCAAAAGTGGTTAATGTCACGGATATGAACGAACGTGCTATCAACGGCAGAAGTTTGCGGGGTGTGAAATCTTTGATAAAGATAAATTGCCGCATTGTGTAGGAACGTAATTTCCAAATAAATGTTCCACAGTGCACTTGGCATTCCCTATACCTATACAGTCACCCGCTTAATTACAAGAATTGGTCACTTATATAGCAGAAATTCGCATTTGTTGTGGATCCAACGTACCGCAAACTTTTGACGTTGATAGTAACTGACGCAAGCATCCACGGAAATCGTATTTGCGTGTGAATGCGATAGGTATGAATATATCTTATATTCTGTTATTGTGTTGTGCCCGTCCGCGTACTCTAGTCAGCGAAGTGACTTACCTATCCAACCCCCACCCCACCTCCCCACATTTTATTCCCTTCTTTCATGGCATTTCTTCGGAACACTGCCAGTCATGCTTCATCCCAACGAGAGAAAGAGCAAATTTACTGTGCGACCAGGCCTAAACCTAAGTTTGGGTGGCTTCCTCAGTTCAGGTAGCCCGGTCTCACTGCTGCCGCCCGAGCTTTGTCATTGGTTTCTAAGGTCAAGCGTCAGCTGCAGAGCTTTCCGCTAGTCTTCTTTTTGTTCCTCCTTCTGAATGTTAATTATTCTCTGTTCGGTTCACTAGAGCCTGATGGTGATGATGTTGGTGCCACGCGCGGGTTATTCATGCGCAATATCACCATATTAATAAAATGTTCACTTGTGTGCTTGATTATCAATACTGTTCCAACAAGAGTACGTAAGTGGAGCCGACAAAGTACGGGCGGCCGTTCTTGCCTCCTTGAGCCCGACGCATTCCCTCACTGTAGAAACTAATTACCTCATATTTTTTTCCTCCTTTTATTTCTTTCCGTTGACAGTCTTATACTTCGACATACGGCATACCTAGAAATTTGACTTCACTTTGTCTTCCAGTTGTCATCCCCATTGTGGTTGATTGTACGTATAAATAAGTAATGAATTAATTAACAAACTTGGCGAGTAGTGAGTGTGGTATAGAGCAGGTTTGTTTCTTTTAATAGTTTGACAAGTTTCCGTGAAGACGTTCCAATGATGCGCGTCTTGTCAGTGCGCGAAAAACTGCTCGATCATGCCCAGAAGCCTGTGGTAGTCGCCAAAGTAAACGATCTTCAGGAATCCTTCGAGCACTTTAATCACATCGTTCTCCACATTGCACTGGTAGACGATGTAGTCATGCAGGGAAGAGTGAACTGCCTCTGAAAACAATCAGCGTCGAATACGTTATTCGCATTCAACCTTTTTTTTGTCACTTCAAACGTTGTAATGTGAAACCTAACGAACAAACTGCATGACTAAATTTACAAGCCAAAAGGTATTACGAGGTACATCATGCCGAGAGCTACAGAAAAGGCAGAAGTACAGGGGAAGATGCGAGCTCGAAGAGATAGGAAATTCGTGGACATTGGCTGTCACTCACTATCGTGGGGTGTCGCAAGGTTCAACATCGAGGCCATTAAACCTGGCAGTAAGGCATTCGTCAACAACAACAACAACTAAAATTGGCTGTGCCATTGCTATAGCAATCGCTGCAGCTGCACGCCAACTGTACTAAAGAAATCCAAGCCGCCGCAGATCCGTCGCCATACCATATGCCAGAGTTTCGTATTCGTGGCTCAATGACAGTGATTCCAGCACACTCAGAGTCGCAAGCTTTGCACGTATTCAGAATCCACACGTCACTTCCTCTTGGATGCCATTTATTTGGCCTAGCACACTGGATCTCATCGCTCACGTCTTTGTGATTCCATGCTGCAGCCCAATGAACTGAGGGTCGGCCAGCTTAGCCGTGCCAAGCTTCGCGCAACTAAGTGGAAACGTTCCGCATTTATTTATATATATTCAAGAGGCATAGCGGTGTTTATTGAAGTGAACAGACTTTCGCAGGCATACACGAATTTTCTCACAAGCTATAAACTCTTCGATGGTGCTTTCAATAAAGATTAGGCATGTATCAATGCTGAATAGGGGAAAGTAAAAATAGATAAAGTAAGAACGTGACTTCATATCTTGATTACACCACTGGCTTGCCAGGTGAGAACAAGATACCGTGTCAAGCACCGGCATGGCTCAGTGGTAGAATACTGGGCCGGCACGCAGTGGACCCGGGTTCGATAAGATAAGGTGTCAGTGATAGTCGAAGGCAAATATCTTCATGTAATATGAGGCTCCCACTGATGTGCATGGTAAAGAATCTCAAGAGGATAATATTAGTCCCCCCCGCCGCGGTGGCCTAGTGGCTAAGGTACTCGGCTGCTTACCCGCAGGTCGCGAGTTCAAATCTCGGCTGCGGCGGCTGCATTTCCGATGGAGGCGGAAATGTTGTAGGCCCGTGTACTCAGATTTGGGTGCACGTTAAAGAACCCCAGGTGGTCGAAATTTCCGGAGCCCTCCACTACGGCGTCTCTCATAATCATATGGTGGTTTTGGGACGTTAAACCCCACAAATCATCATCATAATATTAGTCCCGAGTTTGTCGCCGTGGTGTGCTTCACTATTAGATTGCAGATTAGGCATTTTAAACTGGGATTTTTTTTAAATACATCGTGAATTGTGATGACGCTTGGCCATAGAAAATGCACGCATGTGCAACAATAAAACGAAACAACACGGAAGATGCGCTGAGGTAATTGTATTCACTCGTGGACCTGATGTCGCGAGAGAACATCGAATATTAAAATGTACTTCGAGAATTTATTCTTTTATTATTTTTATTTTTATTTAGCATTACATTTTCGTTAGTGGGACACTGAGTACAAGAGTAGTGTACTTTTATTTTTTCTCAGGGTAGTTTGAACTTAATTCGTGGGTGGTTGATGTGAACTCCAGCAACGCTGTTCTCAGAGTAACAGAAAAAAGTTTTGGAGGCTATATTTTTGTTCTCGGGAGGTCCACGCCGAAAGTTACTGCGCATCCAAGAACACGTCGTTCCTGCCATGCTTCTCACATCACCAGCGCTAAAGATTTCGCACAGCCTAAAGGTCAATGAAGATGTTCTTGTCTTAATACTAATAGTTGCGGTTTAACGCCCCCCAAAAAGAATTTTACCTTACCTAACTTCTGAGCCGCCTTGAGGAACGTGGAGATCGATATTTCTGCTCTGTCATCTTCTAGAAAGTCTGTGGGAAAAAAAAGATAACAGGATTTTATGAAAAATTCATCACACGAGTCACGTTAGGGCAGCTGTCACAAGCGCGAGCACTCGCCAGAACAAGGCTCTGTGACTGTAGTACACACTGCCTTGCACGCTATAAAATTGCTGGTTAAATCAGGTCACGTTTAAACGTGACACTCCTCGCGAATCGGAACCACGTGATTTAATTAAGTTGTACTTAATTTGAATTTAATGAACCTTAATACAGAGGCATATCATACTTTGTAAAAATAAGCATTGCTTTTGCTAGTAGAATCAGGCTTGCTTGCGTCAAGTTTGCTTGTGTTAAACAGATCAATTCGGCTTCACCTAATTTTCTGACGTATGATTCCAATTCGGAGAACTGTTATTGCCACAAACTTTGTTCATTAATTTTTTTGTACTGATGTTTATAGGCTCATGAAGCACTAATTTCATTCAAAAGATTATTTGCACTGATTTTAACCAATTTTACACATAAATGTAACTTTGCCAGAAGTACGATTCAACGGTGCTTCATTCATCCTTGCAACGTTTTAGCACCCAATCTTTCTGCACCCCCTCTAAGTCGCTCTAATGAGCAAGTAATCATCAGATTTAGATTCTTTAAGTGCAATTAATGAGTAAATATAACGTCGTGTCAATTATGCTGATGCCTTGACTCTTCAAAGCCCTTAAGGTCTCTCTTTCGAACATTTCCCTCCTTTTTTTTTTTTGTTCTTTTCGGAATACGCTCTACGCCATCTATGGCTTCAGCTTTGTACAGGGACGTCAGTTCATGTGAACGCATTTGCATCTGGCGTTACGCTCCAAATTACGGGACTTTGGAAGCTACGTTGGCAGCCTGAGTAACATAATCAGCTGAATACCACAGAAACTATTTTCATTTAATATATTACCTAATTATTGCTTAGAAGGCATGTGCTAAGTACATGCAGAAAAATGACTGAAGTGTAGTTAGAACAACGTCCACGAAATTGAATCACAGAACAGGGTCGTGTAGTTAATAAGCACCCATAAAAAGGTATCGTTAGTGAACCTATTTTATTTTAGAAGGGGTGCTCCTGCCAGGCCAGTACTAGGCTAGCTTTCAGCGAGTCCCCACTAAGCGATAGCGCTGCAGCAGTAAACGGACTTTACTTAAACCAACGCACCTTCCTCGGTGGTGGTTGTCACAGTTTGGTTGGCGTAAGCATCGGTTGTCGTCGTTAGTAGTTCGGCAGTACTCTCGGGGCCTACGAAAACGAGAGTAAAAAAAAAACAGCGACGTTGACGTATACAGTACGGTCCACTCTTCAAGGAAGCGCTCGAACGAGCACCTCCCATATTTCGGGCCTCCCTAACGGCAGCATTGTTCGTGCATCCGCGTAACTCTATCAAAGGAGCCACAACTGTAAATCACTAGTGGTTGCGTGCAAATCAAACCCACTATGTTTTAGTAACAGGGTGAAATCCGGAAGTGTTGAGCCTGAAAGTGTGCCTTTCAACAGTGCACCCGTCTGTACTTACATGTAAATTGGTATATAGAAATATTTGTATACAAGAGCAGCAGGTAGCAAATTCGGGTAACCGTGGCGTAACGATAACCAAGCCCCCAACAGCACAAGATACATTGCTGTGTCTTGCACATGACAGAGAAAAGAATATTAATACTCGTGCTGGAGAACACCAAGCGTCCCCAAGCCAACCTCCACCGAAGCCACAACCTCATCGTGCTCCCGTCTAAATTCCCATCATGCTCCTTTACCATCCTTTTCGCTAGGCTCATAGCAAAAAAAAAAAAGCCCGGTTGTCTATGTGATTCACTGCAAATGTCGTAAGACGATAATTTTCTGCCGGTTTTCCTTACTTTCCTTCGTGCATAGCGTCGCAATCTCAGCACAGCTGAAGAAACACTAGAATCTTTAAAATTACGTATACATGTATTTCCTAGAGTGCGCACAACACCTAATACGGACTGATGTTGTGCCTCAGATATACGTAATAATTGTTTTTTTTTATCGACAACTGTTCAAAAATTCTAACGCAGCCACCAGTTCATGACGGCTCGGCCTCCAGCAAGTGCTTACACTTTGGTCGCTGAATCGTGTGACAGACATACAGAGAGAAAGGCAGATCCCAAATTTCTGCGTTAAAGTATACCAAGAAATAATATCGTCTTAAACAAGAGAATGACGAGCGAGAACGCCCAGCGAAAGTCTACAAGCCAACATCCCCCAATGCCACTTCCTCCTCGAGCTCCATGCTCTTGGTAGAATTCCCACCGTGCTTCTGTTTTATTTTATTTTCTTTTGGGTAGGTTTCGAGATCGTCACGTGACACTCCCTCGTAGTTTTTTTTTCCTCGCCATTCTCGCGCAGCACCAATCCACGAGGTGTGAAATACACTTCAATTTGATAATTATCTTGCTACTTGTAAGGTAGGACGTCACTATTCACTAATATTTGTTCCATAGGTGAAGTCTTCAAACGTATCGATATGTAGCTTTTTCTTTAGCTTATTCCCCCTTCTGAGCGCATACAACATTGAAAGCAATCATCACCATCATCATCACTGCCCGATCTCCAATTGCAGAAGAAGGACGATGATCGAAAGGATCGTGGCCAATCCAACTTGGTGAGTTGTTCCAATTTTACGGGAATCTTCATCATCATCACCACCAGCGCAGTTGACGCTTCCTCGGGGAGCCGTAAACGTTGAGTCGCAGCATGGTTACACTTGGCACCTTGCCCAGACGGAAGCTACACGTCATTGGAATGGACGGAAAAAGCGACTGACCTTTGTCGTGGTGACTACGTCGTGGCGCCTTGTAGTCGCCACTGCAAGCAATGAGCTACTGCCCGAATTGTACTGCATGGTCACTCCACACCTGTTCACTACTACGACGCCACATTGCCTGGTCAACACACCTGTGGCCAAGAACTCGTGTCAGGCCCAGGTGATCAAGGGTTCCTGGTGTGCGGATTAACAGTGGCGTCAAATTTCACCGGGAGGACCCGGAGATGTGGACCAACGTGACACAGGCTGAATGCTGGGGCTGAAGTCACATAAAACGGATTAAGAGAACTTACATGTGGATTATTGAACGAATATGCTTTTGCTGGGAACGTACGCAGAAATTGTTCGATAGGTTGACCCTCTCTGTGATTGCCAGTGACGACAAGCTGCAACGATACCTAGTGGTGAACCATAACGAACTGTACGACGAGACTAAGGAAAACCTGTCTCTGTACTTGCAGCAACTAGAGTGAGCTCCGTACAATGTACGAGGATAGCAAGGACAACCTTCCTCTGTACTATCTGTTGGTAACTAGTGACAAGAATGTGCGCCACACGAACTACAAGGAGACCAAGAACAACGCGTCTACCCTCTGCTAGCGTCCAGCCACAGGAGTGAGCTCAGCGCAAAGTACGAGGGGACCAAGGATAACGCATATTTGCACCCGTTACTCGTGTCCAGCCGCAAGAGTGAGCTCCGTCCCAAGCTTTGCGTCTTCAATTCCATGCGAGAACAGACGGAAATCGTGGATAAACGTGATCCATTCTGTTTCACCCCAGAAAAGGTTTGGGACATGGAGCACAGTGGACATCCTGCTCGACATGTCCAATGAACTCTTTCCTGCAGGGCCAAATTTATCATCTGCGTGCGAGGTGCTCGCCCTTCCGGCCGCTACGGACACGTCCGGGCTGAACTCTATCATGCAGTTCAAGGCCCCTAAGTGCCAGTTGTCTGACGACCACGACGACTCTTATGGAAAGCCACGAGCACAGCTGTACCATAACGAATATTAAGGCCCGTAAGGTAAAACAGGCAAAGCTATTCTTTCAGCTAGGTCACCCGTGTTTGCAGGCATGATTGAGCACGAAATGTGTTGGACCACTTTGATCACATTATTACGTGGCGAATCAACGGATGTGAGATATAAACACTTATCATCAATCTTTTTGTATATATTGTTGGCTTGTCTCTGTCAAACCTTGATGTGTTGCGCGGCAGTGTCAAACATGTGCATGTGATCAGTGATATCTGTTCTTATCATGGAAGCTGTAATGTTGTGTGCATCGAAGTTCTTAAATTTACTAAGAATAAAATGTTGGTAGTTGAATCTTCTGCACAAACAACAGTGCAAAAAAACTAATAGACAAGATGGAGACAGGACAAGCCCTATACAGGTATGGCTTGTTCCGTCGTCATCTTGCAGTCGTCATTTATTTTGACACAGTTCGACGATGTCATAAAGGATCTTAAGTAGCACCAAGTTCCCCTTTCTCAGTCTTCTGTTTTATGTACGCAGCGGCTAGGCATAACGATTTCACGAAGATTCAGTGGACACTGGTGCAATGGATCCACTGCTGCCTTCTTTTCTGTCTCCGAGCCGTGGAAAATTATGCCACTCAACACATTGGAGGACCATCTCTAAGTAATCTTGCTGGCCACTGAAGCCGCCACTGAGCCAAGGTCGATTGAGGGGCTCCCATAAAACCAGTCTACTGGCCTCCCGCCTCCCTTGACCCAGAAAGAGCACAAAATAATATATAATAATCATCCGTAATAATAATCCGCAATTCGTATTCATAATAATAGTCCGTAATATACGTGCAAGCTTACAAGTCATGCCGGTTTCTTAGAAGCAACCAAACAACTCACCGCTTTGCCTTCTATTTCCATGCTTGTAATGATTCGGGCATGTTGACTGTGGATACAAAATGGAACCTTGACGACAATGAAAAGAAAACCGAATTAGAGAAGAGAAAGAAGCAATTCGTGATGTACTTCAAGGTAAATTTTCTATACATAATTCCAAAGTTATCATTGCAGGGTAACGCCAATGTGGCTCGTCTGACTGTCCAAACACGAATTTTTTTTATGTTTCGGTTCACTACGGCTCCACTGACGTATTTCCGTCACGGATATGGCGTTGTAAAATATATACTGTGAAGAAGAAAACGCATCGTTGGCAAACAACATCGCCACCGCTTGGGTACTGGGTGCTTGGCTTCGCTCGCTCGGCTCGTGCTGATCATCGCCGGCATCTGCTCGACCGTTGCTGTTGTCCGATCGTGTTTCATCGTAGGACCACCGTCGCAACAGTCGCCAATAAACCCTTTTTCAATTGGTGGAGGGTGCTGACATTCCCCGTCGCCTGAACCTGGGTGCTGCCATTCGCCGTCGCCTCAACCTGGAGCTGCGCAACCGAACGCTACCTACCATCATGGCTACCAACAACGCGCAACCTGGCTCTTCCACTCCATCCTCCAGCAACCCCGGCGTTCTTCGTTTGCGAGAGCCCAAAGTCTTTAGCGGAGCTGATGAGACTGACGTGGAAGACTGGTTCGCTAACTACGAACTGGTAAGCGCAAACAACAAGTGGGATGACGCGGACAAATTGACTTACGTCATCTTTTACCTCACTGACGTAGCCGAAATGTGGTATAACAACCACAAAAACGACATTACGACGTGGTCCACCTTCAAAACGTTGTTCGCTGACGTTTTTGGCCGACCCGCTGTCCGCAAGTCCAGAGCCGAACAACGCTTGCGGACTCGCGCACAAAAACCAACGGAATCTTTCACAAGCTACATTGAAGACATCATTGGACTTTGCAACCGACTGAACACCACCATGCCCGAGTCGGAGAAGATTCAACACATCCTCAAAGGGATAAATGACGGTGCATATCAGCTGCTCCTCGCCCGTAATCCTGCCACCGTTGCGGAACTTGTTACTTTGTGTCAAAGTTTCGACGAGTTGAGCAAGCAGCGTGCCCTGACTCGGCCATTTTCCTCACACGCCGACTCGCTCTCCAGTCTCACTTCCGTTCCCGACCACGCACCAACCCTGCAAGAGATTAAAGACTTCGTGCGTGAAGAAGTAGCTCGGCAACTGTCGTTGATTCCCTTCACGCATCAGCCGCCGTCCCCTCGTCTGCCCTCACCACTCCGCGACGTTATTGCCGAAGAGGTAGCTCAGGCTGTTCCCGTCGCTGCCCACCAGCAGCCTGTGGCCGTGACTGTTCCCCATGCGCCGGCTATGCAGCCCGTGGCCGCGCCTCTTACTTATGCTCAGGTGGTACGCAGCAGACCCCGCCAGCAGCTTTTGCCACCCATGCCTGCAGTTGCTCCCCACTCTACCCCTCTTTCGACACCTTGGGCTGCACCGCGAGTCAGCAATTCCTGGCGCACTGCTGACAATCGACCAATCTGCTACGCCTGCGGTACTCCAGGACACGTGGCACGATATTGTCGTCGTCGTTTCCAATCGCAACACAACGCTACTTGGCCGTTACCGTATGACCCGCCGCCCACGCACCTACCTGCTCCCTATCCTTCACCGCAGTATGGCTACACTAATCTTCCCGGGTCTCAGTCACCCCAGCGCCCAGCTCCGACTCACTCTTCCCGCTCGCCGTCTCCTCGCAGGCGATCTCTGTCCCCAATGCGTCCCCGACCCGCTTCTTCCAACCGGGAAAACTGAACGCCGCAGTTCCAGAGGCAAGAACTGCGCCGTCATCGAAATGCCCAAGTCCTCGCACTTCACCTGCTAACGTCGTCGCCATATCTGTCGATGGTGTTTCTACATTTGCCCTCATCGACACAGGTGCTGCCGTTTCTGTTATAGCCGCCCAGCTCTGCCGCTCCCTACGCAAAGTGACCACGCCGCTCTCTGGACTATCGCTTCGTACGGCTAGCGCACAGCCAGTCAGACCTCTCGGCACCTGTACAGCCCGCATTTTCATCCAAGGCTCTATGTACGTTGTCGAGTTCATCGTCCTTTCGGTGTGCTCGCATGACGTTATCCTCGGGTGGGACTTCCTGTCACAACATCATGCCGTCATCGACTGCGCACGCGCTGAAGTTCAATTTTCGCACCTGTATGACGAACCTTTGCACGAAACTCTTGAGCGGTCTCCAAAACTCGTCGTACGTGAAGACACTGAAATTCCGCCAGCCTCTCTTGCCGTTGTCCCTGTTTGCTGCGATGACCATAACGACGCTACAGTAATGTTTACACCTTCCGACATTTTCATGAGCCGCAGAGCCGTTTCCTTGCCTTTCGCTACACTCGACGTCACTGCGGGCCGAAGCAATATTTTCGTCCACAACCCCCTTTCTGCACCGCTTACGCTACTTGCCGGCGAATGTCTCGGTCGAGTGGAGTACCTCGATTCCTCTTTATTCCTTAACATGCCAGACGAATCGTGCAGTAGCGCCTCGACCGAACTTCATGCCCTTTCCCCACTGGAATGCTCATCGAGTGACACCTTCTCGAGTTCCATCGCCGACACCTTAAGTGCCCATGAACGCGCCGAGCTTCTTAATCTTCTCCAGCACTTCGCGAATTCATTCGACGTTTCTCAGCCGCAATTGGTTCGGACTTCCGCAGTGCACCACTACATTGACACTGGTTCGCACCAGCCATTGCGTCAAAGACCGTACCGTGTCTCTGCAGCAGAACGTCACGTCATCAACGACCAGGTCGAAGAGATGCTACGCCGTCGCGTTATTCAACCATCGCACAGTCCTTGGGCATCTCCTGTCGTTCTAGTTCGAAAGAAGGATGGATCGATTCGATTTTGCGTCGACTACCGGCGATTAAACAAGGTGACGCGGAAAGACGTCTATCCATTACCGCGCATCGACGACGCCCTTGACAGCCTCCAAGGAGCCGAATTCTTCTCCTCCTTAGACTTACGATCTGGATACTGGCAGGTTCCTATGGCAGAAGCTGATCGCCAGAAAACTGCGTTCATTACACCAGATGGCCTGTACGAATTTAACGTAATGCCATTTGGGCTTTGTAATGCTCCTGCCACGTTTGAACGACTCATGGACAACACACTGCGTGGACTGAAGTGGTCTGTGTGTCTATGCTACCTCGACGACATTGTCGTTTTCTCTCCCGATTTTCCTACACATCTGCGTCGGCTCCAACTGGTGCTGACGTGTTTAACCAACGCTGGGCTCCAACTGAACCTTAAAAAGTGCCGCTTCGCCGCGCGAGAGCTGTCCATCTTAGGGCACATCGTGTCCAAGGATGGTGTTCGACCTGACCCTGCAAAACTGCGAGCAGTCGCTGAGTTCCCGAAACCTACTACACTGAAAGAATTACGCAGTTTTGTCGGACTATGCTCGTACTTCCGGCGCTTCGTGCGAAATTTTGCGTCGATCATGTCACCACTGACCAACCTCCTACGCGGTGATGCAGACCTTTCATCCTGGTCTTCTGACTGCGACGTCGCGTTTGCCACGCTCCGTAGTCTGCTAACATCTCCTCCAATTCTTCGGCATTTCGACCCAACAGCTGCAACGGAAGTTCACACAGACGCTAGTGGGGTTGGTCTAGGCGCCGTCCTCGCCCAACGCAAGCCGGGCTACTCCGAATACGTCGTCGCTTATGCGAGTCGCACACTTACTAAAGCTGAGGCCAATTACAGCGTCACTGAAAAAGAGTGCTTGGCGCTAGTGTGGGCGCTTCGCAAGTTCCGCCCTTATTTGTACGGTCGCCCATTCGACCTGGTAACGGACCACCATGCACTTTGTTGGCTCGCCACATTGAAAGATCCTTGTGGCCGCCTAGCTCGGTGGGCACTGCAAATCCAGGAGTACGACATTCGTGTCATCTATCGCAGCGGACGCAAGCATTCTGACGCCGACGCCCTGTCGCGTTCGCCTTTACCTCCCGACTCGGCCTGCGAAACCACTGGTACCGACTCCGTCGCATCTCTCGACCTCGACTCTTTTACCGGTGAACAACACAAGGACCCGTGGATCGCTTCCCTTTTTAACTGTCTCTCTGGATCGTCAACCACTGCGGTACCACGATCTCTCCGACGTCAAGCTGCTCATTTCGCGATTCGTGATCGGCTGCTACACCGACGCAACTACGCCCCCGAAGGTCGTAAGTGGCTCTTGGTTGTCCCGCGCAGCTTGCGATCACAAATCTGCGCCTCCTTTCACGACGATCCCCAATGTGGTCATGCCGGAGTTTTCAAAACTTACGAACGCATTCGCCATCGCTTCTACTGGCGCGGAATGTATAATTTCGTTCGAAAATTCGTTATGGGCTGCCCTGACTGTCAACGCCGCAAATCACCGCCTTTCCACTCGTCCGGTGCGCTTCAACCGCTCCCGTGCCCTGCCAAACCTTTCGATCGGATCGGAATTGATCTCTATGGCCCTCTACCGACAACATCAGATGAAAATCGGTGGATCATAGTCGCTGTGGACCATTTAACACGCTACGCTGAGACCGCCGCCCTTCCAAGTGCCACTGCGCGGGACGTAGCATCCTTCATCCTTCATCGCTTTATACTAAGACATGGTGCACCTCGAGAGCTACTAAGCGACCGAGGTCGAGCCTTCCTATCAGAAGTCGTCACGTCTCTGCTTTCTCAATGCCATGTTGTTCATCGCAAGACCACTGCATACCACCCGCAAACTAACGGGCTCACGGAAAGATTTAACCGCACCCTTGGCGATATGCTCGCCATGTATGTGACATCCGATCATACTAACTGGGATCGCATTCTTCCATTCATCACGTTCGCATATAACACCGCGGCACAGTCTACCACTGGATTTTCACCTTTCTTTCTTCTTTATGGACGCGAACCATCCCACACCATCGACACTCTCCTTCCATACCATCCTGACGCATCCGAATGCCCATCTGTGTCCGAAGCTGCCCGTAATGCGGAAGAGTGCCGTGAACTCGCACGCACCTTTACGTCGCAAGAACAACAGCGCCAGAAAGAAAACAACGCCGACTCTTCACAAAGCCCCAGCTATTCCTCGGGATCACTTGTATGGCTGGCTGTTCCTTACCAAAGCCCCGGCATATCCTCAAAACTCGTTCCAAAGTACGAGGGCCCATACCGCGTTTTGGAGCAAACCTCGCCGGTGAATTTTCTCATCGAGCCACTTTCCCCATCTGACGACATGCGCCGGCGTGGACGTGATATCGTCCACATCGCCCGCCTTAAGCCATATCATAGCCCTCTGCCTTCAGACTCTTAGGTCGCCAGGATGGCTCTTTTTCGGCGGGGGCAAATTGTGAAGAAGAAAACGCATCGTTGGCAAACAACATCGCCACCGCTTGGGTACTGGGTGCTTGGCTTCGCTCGCTCGGCTCGTGCTGATCATCGCCGGCATCTGCTCGACCGTTGCTGTTGTCCGATCGTGTTTCATCGTAGGACCACCGTCGCAACAGTCGCCAATAAACCCTTTTTCAATACTAACAGTTTGAGAAGAAACAACGAGGACAGATCTTGTCATGCGGCGTCACACAGCAACCTCTGGAATCGCAGCGCGTGGCGCTAATCACTATCTCAAGAAGCGTTCGTTGTCGAGGGTGCTAACTGCAAGCCATTTATCATACACTGTTTGGCTAGTTTAGCGGTCCTCAGAGCTCCAAAACTTTAGCGCGTTTTCGTTATCAGTAACGAGATTACAATGCCTTGAATATACTTATTCTAGGAACTATAACGAGATGCATGGTGCGACAGGCTTGCGTTGAGCGCGCTCTAAAAGTCGTCGCCTTCACTGACAGCCACCTTTAAGGACCGCCAGCACGCGCGTTCACCAGACTCGTAATTCGGGAGATGATGAAGGTCACTTCGCTCGCTGCCGCGGCCGCGGTAAAAATGCGCCGCTGACACACGACCAAGTAAGAATTGTGACAGTTGTTCACGCTTCTCCTGTGTATACTTGTGAGCTCGTTTCGTGCGTCTTTCTGTTTGAACAGCGCGCTTTAAGTGTTGAGCTGTGACAGTTGTTAGTCCGAGTTCGTACTGTGTCTGCTAATTTTGTGCGTGCCTTCTGCATGCTGCAGCAACTTTCGAGGTGCTTACCATTTCTTCACGTGACTTTGCGATTTGCTGCTACTGCCACAATAAACGCCCAAGTACCTCTGCGAAGAGACGTTTCACTTTGTTGTTATACCGATTCCTAGATAAAGGGATCAGCCACGTTTTTTATTTATTTTCCCTCCTTTGTCGCCATGCAATATTTCAGGACTGAACATTCATCTGCTAGTTCTCGGAAAGCCTACTAGGGTCAGAGGTACGGGAACCTCCGAGAACTTCTCTTCGTCGCCAGCAGTTGCGGCATAATGTTGCGTAACCAAATGAAAAAAATTACCACAATAGAACTCACCAATTATGTTGATGATCTTGTTTGCGGTGACGATTCGGTCATCGTCTTTTAGGGTGGCCATTTTCTTCACCACAAGAGGGGTCGTCTTGCGAATAAACTTGCAAATGGCTTCGCCAAAACGAAGGTATCGATTGCGCGAATCTGCAACTGAACGCACCGCTTTAAATGGTAATTCCATAATCGCTGGGGTTCTCGCACCCCCAAAACGACATAATTATGAGGGGACGCCGCAGTGGAGGGCTCCGCGAATTTCAGCTACCTGGAGTTCTTAATCGTATGCCAAAATCTAAGCACACGGGCCTATAACACTTCGCTTCCCTCCCCCCCCCCCATATATGCGCCCGGTTGGCATTCGATACCACAACCTCTGGATCAGCATTCAATAACACCTCGCTACAGCGGTGGGTTAAATGATCGTCTCATGGCGTGAAGTAGCTATACGCGACCCAAGGAGCTGGACATGCATATTTTGCTCAAAAAATCAGAAGATGCGGTGTAAGCACTGAAGTAAATAAAACGCACAAAAGCTATACAAAGATGACAAAGACGAGGGGACAGCAATGATAAGCACAAACAACAGTAAACAATTTTATATGTAAACTAAACAAACCTTTCTCACCAATTTTTTTTGTTTCTCTTTGAATGGTGATTCGCGGTGCTACATTTGTTTAGATCCCGTTTATTCCTCAACTTTTATTGGCGTTATAGAGCACTTAGGATTACCTATTCATCTATTTCGACGAATTTCCCTTTATATTATGCAGTGTGATCAATCCCCCTAGTGAATTCGAGCCAATTTCCGCAAGGCGTCATAACAAAACAAAATTTATTGCGATTGTCCGCATTGACGTTTCCACTCGTCTGTTTGCTTTTCATTTGTTTTAGGGACGAAGATCCTTAAGGCGTGAGTGGGTCGTCCCTTGTATGTATGCAGCTATGTAGTAACCACCTCACAGCATATCCACAGAGTGAATGATGATGAATGGGGAGAAGCATCGGGGGTTTTGTCGGCAAACCATGAATCATTGGCTGGCCGCGTCCGTCCGTCGTCTGTCCGTCTGTTTGACGCACGGACGGACAGATGGACGGACTAATGAACGCACGGACGGATGGACGGATGGAAGCGCGGACGCACTGACGGATGCTTCACCCCACTAATCATTATTCGCTCCGTGGATATGCTTTGATTGATTGATTGATTGATTGATTGATTGATTGATTGATTGATTGATTGATTGATTGATTGATTGATTGATTGGTTGATTGATTGGTTGATTGGTTGATTGATTGATTGATTGATTGATTGATTGATTGATTGATTCCTCAATATTATGGCACATACCCACTCTGGGGGTTTGGCGAAGGCGGTGTATCGTAACTTGTCATTGATAACTCCAAGAATGCATATTAATAAACGCTCGTCCGAGTTGTCCCCTAGTCTTTTTTTAGTGGCTGCGCATTTTATGCCCTTAAATATCACAAAACACCTCGCCCAGCAACGAGTTTTATTGAACTGCCATATAAGTGAGCCGCTTTTCCTGGGATATGTGCAAAACCAGAGATAACTACCCTACAATATGCTGCTACCTTTATGGTTAGGTCAGTTTGCAGACCTCCTGGTCCTATAGGTTCTGTCTACATAAATTCAGTACAGGCGCTGATTTTGCCCCTTAAAATTGAATTAATTTGTTCATAATTAATGTTTCAAAATGTAATTGAGAAATTAAATGGGAACAATTTGTCACTCGGTCTATCGTTGATATTGTTGAAATAGAAGTGGAAGTCTAACACAAGTTATGAGTTCGTTTAACTCAAGGAAGGTGAAGTTAAGAGAGAGAGAGATAAAGATACAAGGAAAGGCAGGGAGGTTAACCAAGGTGAAGTTAACTTACTCATTCTGACTATGTGAAGCCTGCGGAGCTTTGCCATGCTTGAAATTCCTTTCCAAGCCTCAGCTGAAATTCTCGAAAAGGTAAAAAAAGCTGTGTTATTCTAACACGCCTTGTAAGCACGCGAAAAAAAAGGCACACGTTGAAGACTCAACTGTCCGCCAGAGTTTACCTCGCATGATCTGCGACTCGACTCTTCTCGGCACTTCTTGGTCGGTCAGGATCCTCTGGAATTTGTCCAAGTAGGCCCTTCCTCTGGAAACTTGAGAAGAACAGCCACCGAATGAGGTAGAGGTACGCGTGTGATTATATGCATGTCGAGCGACTATTTCATACAGACTGAACCAGACATTTTTTTTAACTTTTAACTGCTTTTTATGCGTGCTCGTACATGTGTTTTTATGTGTACATGTCTATTGACACACAAACGTGCATTACGAGGGGCAGTCGAGCCCACCATCCCCCCTCCTCCTTGCGTACACCAGTGGGGCTTACGATTGTTGTGCTTGAATCGGATGAAGTGAGCGGTAAATTTAAAAGTTACTTTACCAGCATTTGCAAATTATTCACCATTCAGCCAATAGAGTTTCCTGAAATCAACTAGAGGGTACTCTGGCGCTGCGATCGTTCAGCCACCATGGGAACAATGGGTGGTACACAGGTTCACCTAAGTCTTCGTGTTTGCGGGCTTCGAACGCATTTGTGGCTTCGTTTATTCCCGTGTTTTGGTTTTGTTTCGAATAAAATAACTGGCCATTGCGAACTTCGTGAGGCGATTTCAATTGGTGAGCCTCAAAAAGTCAAGGTGGTAAAGCGCGACTGCTTAACCTTTGCCGATTGTTGTCTCGTGAGAAAGCGGAAGTCCACGTGATCGCCAGACGAAGCCGAAGTAAAAGTCCGTATACTTCCCATCATTCCCATACTGGCTGAAGCGTTGTGCGTTACAGCTCCCACAGACACTGGCCCCCGAGTTCTCCCTAGTGGGTATTGTAGGAAACTCTGAAACTATATGACAGCCCAATCGGTAAAGAGGACTTTATATTTAAAAATTAAATGCCAGTGGTGACGTCATCTTCCGGTTCCTACCACACCAGCTTGCCATGACGTCACATGTTTTTATGGCGTTGGTGTGAGCCATGTTTATCGAGTCAGTGGTGATGATATATTACTCTTTGTTCTGAAGAAGCAAGAGCAGAACTTCGCAAGTTCTGGTAACATTTGACACGTCACAGTGGCCTAAATGATGAAAATTACATTTATGTCCACGACATTATGACGGTTGCTTCGGCGCCAAATTTAAGAAGTTAAATGAATGAACAAACTTTATTTAAAGTCTGGCAGTTTCTTTCGGGTGAGGCGGGGGAATGGGGGATTAACCCCTGTCCCGTCACACCCTCCATCGATGAGGACGGTCGATGAGTCAACTTTTCTTTTCCTTTAATTTCGTCAACCCAACGCCAGCCTACTGCTACACATCATTTAGTTATCTGTAGAAAATCCTTCCGGAAATAATTGCAAATATTAACAGAAACTACGCAATGGGTGAACGTCATGCCTAATGTGGATCTTGGCTGCCACAAGCGGCTAGAAAACCTGGCCATCAAAGCTACAAGAAAGTCAAAGCACCGGAATTGACAGTCCACCATAAATTCAGAGTTGGGTAATAAATGAAAAATTCTTTTATCACCCTCCCATCCTGTAATCAGCCTTATATCACGAAACCAACAGAAACGGAACTTTTTAAACAAACTTTTACCAATATGGGCAGATTTAAAGCATCCTTTTTTCTTCCCCCAAATTCCCTGCCAAAATTAGAAAGCGACCTTAATGATAACGGACCTCAGATCCTTTAGCGTGGTAACTCTGGATCACAATGTTGAATGTATTCAGGACAAAGATGAAACATCGCGCTGGGAAGAAATAGTTGATTGATTGAAACACATTTATTGAGGTCCTGCGATAAATAGCTACCAAAACGTCACTTTTCAAATCTTGGCAGTCCAGAAGGTGCATGCAAGGGCAGTCAGGTTTAACCTGATGTAAGGAAAGGACTTAAAGACGCCGAGGAGCATCAAACCAGAACTGAAGAAGACGAGCGGAGAGCAGGTGGCACGAAGGCGACAACAAGAAATGAAGAGAAGAAGGCACGTGCGATTACGAGGCAACTGTGCGCCAATCAGCTGATGACCAGTGATGGCCCATAGAGGTGGCGTGCCACGATTGGGCCACGTGCGACCATTACGTGGCAGTAGGCTTTGTGGCTGGGGACGAGCCGGAGCAGCGGCAGACGGGAGACAGCGGGCCGAAGCGTCGGACGCAGGCGATTCAGGTTCCGGCCAGGGAACGCGGCTGTCCACGCTACTGTCGTCCAACTACCAGCTGGGGTGGCATTGCCGGCACGAGTACTGCATCTCGGGGCGCGGCCTGGCCTGCTGTTCTCTTCCTTGCCGAGGGCATCGCGGATCTCGGCGAGGCGTCTCCGCGGTCAGCCGTTCAACACAGCGATGAACGTGGCCTGGCTAATGGTCATGGTTGCGTCGAGCATCGCGTCTCGGCGCACGCTCTTCGCTGGACGGGCTGGCCATTCCCCGCATGGAGCATTGCGTCTCCGATGCGGGTTGACTGCTCAGTAGTCGCACCCATGCCATCAAGTGCCGGTGTCACCAGAGCGTCGCACTTCGGCAAGGGACGAGCGAGATGTTCTGCCGGGCGAGACGCGGGCGTGTGTACGGAGGACCACGGAGCCGGGCGAGGATTCAGGGTGGCCGAGGATTCAGATGCCAGGGGAGTTGCTGGCTGAATCGAGGATCGCCGAGCGGTGCCGAGCCGTACCGAGCGACACGCCAGCCTCGGAAGTGGGCCACGAGCTCACGAGCTGTGCACCCGAGGGTACCTGGCTGTGCCCTGGCCAAGGTGAGGAACGCCGGTGAGTGAGTTCCCGCTCCGCAGCTGTAGAGAGCAGCATTTCAGCACGGCACAGACGGTGCTGTGCTGGCCAGAACCCGCACGTGGAACCGCTACGCCCGGGCGGTGATCAAGAGCTTGGAAACGAGGTCTGAGGTCGCGCCAGTCCAGGCATCTCCGCCACCGCAGCTGGAGGGTTGAGGCCAGGAAGGCAGACGAAGCAGTGCCCCGCTCGAGAGGACGAGTTACTGGGAGCGTTCCTGAGCCGGACGTGGGACCCGTACGTGTCGGCCAGGTCGAGCTCCGGCGTGTTCGCTCGGGGTCGAGTCCGCCGGCCGGTACAAGGTGCAAGGACGGGGCCTGCTGAACGGCTCCTGCCTAGGTGCAGTGGCCGGGAGCAGGTTCGTGGACGAGGCCTACCGGGCGTGGTCCTCGTGAGCCGGGGCCTGACCCTGAACCTCAGGAGTTGCGACCCTGACTGCTGGCCGCGACGTCTGACTAAACGGCGCTGCACACGGTAGCGCATCCGTGTGCCGTCAGCCGTTCCAGCCGCTCCAGCCGTGCCACCTTTGCCCTCGCGCACGTCGACGATCGCATCATGTCGGGACGACGGGGACCCAAACTGTGAGGCAGCGTTTTCCTCTTGCGAACTGAGAACTCTACGCGCTGGACTCGGAGTAAGCGTAGCCGCGAGCTCTCCGCATGCTAGAGGTCTGACTCTCGTACATGTTGCGTGACGCGTGGCGTGTAGGGTTGGACATATAGTTTTATTTTCACCTGCCACTTCGTTCTCTAGTGTATAATATAACGCTTCTTTTGTTCGCATCCATTGTTGATGTTGATCCTTTTTCGTCCGCTATCAACAAACACAGTGACGAACGTCCTTAACCATCACACCTGACCATCCTCGAGTGGGCCTAGCCAAGTTACGTCGACCTAACTCAAGTCTATTGGGAACCGAATAAAGTTCTCTGACTCAATCATTCACCAAGAAATACACTCAAACCTCATTAAAACAAAGTTGCATCTTACAGCAAAGTCAGTTCGTTATATCCAAAAAAAATTTATAAAGGTATACTCCTAACACTATCTCCTAGACATATACTCCTAGACATATACTCCTAGACGATTCTATACTCCTAGACAATCAGCGCAGCTTTGTGCGTTGTTTCGGCAGAACACATGCATTCAACCTATCCGCTTTGCCACAAGCAATTTTGCTGTGGAATGATCTTCCTGATGCGACAGTTTCAGTGACTAACGGCCAGGTGTTCCGAAAGCAACTAAACTCTCACTACACCTGGCATCACTTTGTAGCCATTTAGGTAGATGTGCATTTGTTTGGCATTTTCTTTGTAATCAATGTCTTTTTTATCAGTACCGTTGTTAAGTTGTATCCTATTTGTATAGTTCTATAGTGTATACATTCTCATTGTTCTTTTTTGTTTTCCTGTATATGCCCTCTTTACTCTATGCTCTAAGAGTCTGTAAGGTATGTTAAATAAATAAATAAATAAATAAATATATATATATAAATAAATAAATATTGGAACATTATTCTTAGTGTACTTTGTTATAACCAATATTTCGTTATATCAGAGTTTCTTACATCAATGTTTGAGTGTAGCTGGTAATGAGAAATTAAACGCACCGAATGGTGAGGCTCTGCTTCCGTGACCAGCCAGTATCTGAATGGTCTTTTCTGAAAAGAAACAAAAAAGAGAAGAAATTGTTTGTGTTTTCGTAGATTAAACGTGTACTATAGTTGTGATGAAAACGTCATGCATCTCTGTTTCTGATTTTGTGGTTCCTCTATATTGATGAATTCAATAAACGCTCATTTCATTGAAACCAAGCTGCACTGGTTCACTGGGTTCTGTATTGACGACCCTCAAGCCGATGTTTGTAAAACAATTTTTTAACGTGCTAATGCGAATAAAAAAAGTTTAAATAAAGGCTAGGAAGTTTACGGAAACTGAAGCCAAGCTCATAAAGGAATCGCGATAAAGTAAATTTGATGTTCTGATCACCCTTTCATACGTAGGTGAGAACTTTATCTGCCGCACTCTTACCGTCTGACAAATCGTCAAAATCTGAAAAATGAAACGTCAAATTTTATTACAGGGCGACAATGTGGTCTCTTGAGAACAAGCAGTGAAAGTTTTTGTACATATTTACCAACGGGCACAATGTCTTCATCTGAAAGAGAAAGAAACAAGCATAACGAAATTAAGACTGGTGAAGTTGCTTTCAGTGAATATAACATGTACAAACAGCGTTCTCATACGCATGTTCAAGGAATATGCGTTCGGCTGCAATAATCAGACAATCAGACTTTATTCTATTTTTATTTATCTTTAATAAGAAGGCAGAAGTTGTGGGGGAAATGGAAGCTTGAATAGTAGGAAAATTTGTCAACACTGGGTGTGGCTGTAGCCGAGCCTGGAGCACCATCTGCTTGTCGAAGCATCGGCTCCAACGATATCTCGATTTTTTTTTCATCTTTACCAAGAATACTGGATTTAAGATTAATCCACTGTCTACCGCACATTTTATTCATTCACGCTCTCATTTCTTTAAGGTGTCCATGAACGGCTCTAGGCTATATTAAATGAGCACTTGTTTTACAAATAACACGAAATTTCAACAAAAGATAAAACCAGAAGACACAGTTCTAGAGAGATGCAGTGAAAAATAAATAAAAGGTAACTTAAAGAAGACAGGAACCGGAGAAAAAGCCAATTCAAACTTGAAATGAGCGTTTCCTCTTGTTATTCCCTTGCCTTTGCACGGTTGTTTCTAAGATGACTTTCCCCTAAAGAACAGAAGTTTACAACACCTCCATCGAAAAAATGGAAATTATTTTAAAAGAATTTTTATATTGTGCCTGTTAATATCCATTGTTCTTTTGTGTCACGCGAAGATTTTTTTTAGTTCACTGCTATGCTTACTAAATTCATTTCGTACTATTTTGACAAAAGGCAGACAAAAGTGACAGTTCTTACTTTCGTGTCTTCTCCTGAAATGTCTACCTTGACAAGTACTGTATTCGTATTTGTGTGATTAAAAAGTATTGATTGATTTACAGATTGATTGATTGACAGATTGATTAATTGACTATTTGATTAATTATTTAATTAATTAATTAATTAATTAATTAATTATCTTATTGGTTTATTGATTAGTTGCTTGATTGGTTGGTTGATTGATTGATCGATCGATCGAGTTATATCATTCGCGTGCCGTCCAACCTGTGAATCCTCGCGAAGAGGCGCACGTGCACATGAGAGCCATAAAAGCTATGGAAGGAGGCAGACGGAAGTGCATTTCCGGAAAGGCGGCCTGGCTTCCTGCAAATGGCCAAGAAAAAACACAAAGTTATTCGCGATTCCGCATCTGCCTTATAGGGCCCCACCCCCGCAAGCGTGTGGGTGAATTAAAACGCTCATCTAAACGGAACGTGCTTCAAGTTCGGTTTCGTATGCTCATCTAAATGGAACGTGCTTCAGTTTCGGTTTCGTATGTGTTTGCCGCGGGTGTCAGTGTTTACAAGAATATATTTGTTTCAGTAGTTCACAAATTTCCTCACTAGGGGGCGAGCAATCACCCATCAAATATGGCGTCAGAGCACGCGCGTCCACTATAACTCCACGGCAGTGCCCTCTCACTTTTAAACTCTAGAACCAAGTTCACCATGCTCCCACTATTAAGTCGACGCTTCTGTATGTTCTACGTATTTCTTCTGGAGTGTATGCATATGAAAGTAATACGAAGACATCGAAAACCGCGCACCGCTTACCCTACATGTTGCGCACCGTATATTCTTACCGTACTTGTTGCGTACCGTATATTCTTACCGTACATGTTGCGTACCGTACATTCTTACCGTACACGTTGCGTACCGTATATTCTTACCGTGCATGTTGCGTACCGTATATTCTTACCGTACATGTTGCGTAGCGTATATTCTTACCGTACATGTTGCGTACCGTATATTCTTACCGTACATGTTGCGCACCGTACATTCTTACCGTACATGTTGCGTAGCGTATATTCTTACCGTGCATGTTGCGTACCGTATATTCTTACCGTACATGTTGCGTAGCGTATATTCTTACCGTACATGTTGCGTACCGTATATTCTTACCGTACATGTTGCGTACTCACTCGTCAAAAAGGTACGTGCGCGTTTGTGCGGGCTGGGCTGGCCGGCACCTGCCATTTTAGTTGTGTGCGAATAGTGAATTTTAGAACCATATTGAATACAACTCGGATACCGATGACTCTGAATCGAATACGAATGCAAATCGAATACTGTTTCCCTAAGTACTCCTTTTGTTTCATTTTTTTATGTTGCCGCCCTATTACGCGTGCAACTGCTGCCTTGCGCAAACCAGGTCTGGGAATCGTATAGACGATCTTTAAATATTTCGATACGATTACTCTCACAACGCGAACATTTGCGTTTGTTCTGGAACTTACGCGGCCGCTAGCGATAACGCTGGCTTTCGATACATGTTTTTTTTTTCGCCTTTCCCGTAGTTTTCTAATTCTATGGCAGCCATTTTCAAAGGAGTTTTAGAATGGTAATTTAATCATTTTCGAAACACGCCAACATTTGCACAACACTTTATATTCTAAAGAAGAACATTACGATTACCTTTAGCCAACAAAAAAAAAACACAATTTTATAAACTGGAGCAAGCTCGTATACAGAATCTAGAGCCTTGAAAATATTTTGTAGAAAAACTAAGCCCTCGCTAAAACCAGGAGCAAGAGGAAACTATCATTTCCGATGTTTCGGAACTCGTATGGGTTTCTTGGTAATGATGGAGCGAAAATTCGAAATGCCGTCCTTATCTATGATTCGAATGCGAGTGTGTCACTTGTTTCCATCTTCGGTAGTTTTTACTTACAATTCTGGGACGTTGAACCCCGCATATCAATTTACTTACAATTTAACCAACCATACAATTTCATTATCGGGCCGCAAGTAAAGTATAGCGGCTTTGCTGACGATAAGCTGCAAGGTTGCATTTCCTTCTCCATTTCTTTCATCGTTTCAAAGGTCTGATTGCCTGAACTTATTTCAAAATTTTAACCTTCGACGAAGCATGCACTCAGTTTCAAGGAGCACAATCTTTCAAGTCAGTTGCCACACACACACGAGGCCTCAATCGTTGTTGTTTTTGCGGCTGTCTTTTTTTTTACATTTTCTGCCCATATGACATCATGATGTACTTGATTTATTTTTTATTTACATATGCAAAACATTAGAATATCGGCTACGGTAGAGCTAGCTATCCTGTCACCATTGTGTTAACATTCAATAGAAGCACAAAATCAAGAAAAACAAACAAAAGCAATGGAAAATAAAAAGAAAAAGAACTAGACTCACAATGTGCACGTCTGATCTGTAGCATATGAAGCATAAATATATGAGCAGAGAGAAGACAAAAGACGTCATCGTGGAGGGAACCTCGTCTTCCGATCCACGCGTCTTGAGAACAGTCGGCATTCGCGCGAGATAAAAGGAAAAGCCGCGGAAGACATAAACAAGGCTTACCTTCAACCGAGAGTCAAGGCCCGTCGAGAGGAGCAGGCGTGGCCCCTTGTTACATCGCCATTTACGAGACGACAAGAAGATGGCGATTGCGCAACCCCCTTTTAGCACGCCCCCTCGGACCCAAGCCGAGCCGAGCCGATCCAGGAGAAAAATCTAGTCGTTTCGGGATCGCAAGGAAAAAAAATCCTCGTAGCAGTGGTTGACACGTCGACGACGCGTCGTTAAGAAAGTAGCGTTAGTGACAATGGCGTAACGACAACCAGTGCGAAAGAAAAAAAGTGAGAAAGGGGTGGAAAAAGTCGAGACGTTGCTGTAGCGAAAGAGAGGGAGGGGGGAACGGATCAGCTGGACGCGCAGGCGGTAAGCAGTTCGCGCTATGTTTTCCGGGAATAAGTTCGTGTCGGCGGGGATAGCAGCTGGTGGCTGCGAACAGTAGATCACGAGTGCGGGGGCAGCAGCGACTGACCGAGTGACGGATAAATATACGGCTCCGCAGGAGGCCAATAAAAAAAATATGGAATAAAATACCCCACGACGCGGCGAGAACGAGCCTTAATACCTTTCTCGACCAGCATCGTGGCCGATTGGTCAGTCGTTGGCTGGATGAAACCACTTCCTATGTAATAAGCGATCGAATCGTTCGCGTGAAAGTGAATCTATTAGTTTTTGGCACGTAGGAAAGGCTACAGGCGATCGAGGGTGTATGCCGCGAAGGATCCGGATATAGCGAAGTCGAAACCACGAATGCTTACTACACAAAGTGATTCGAAGCATCCGACACCTTTTTTCCCGGATCCGAAGCGTGACAGGCGATTCCGAAAAAAAAACGTGTTTCCGTTAAGATATGCGTCAGGTTTCCTGCCGGTTACGATTTCGTGTACTTACGTGTACTTTAAGCAGCGTTGGCGCTGCCAGGTGTGAGGGACACGAGATACGTTGCGGGGGCTCGCAATTCCCGGGAATTTCGCAGTTTTGTATGTGTATATATACAAGCACCCATACAAACGCACCCATAAACGGGCATAAGCTATGTCTGACCTCCTCTACCCCATCCTCTAAAAAACTTTGCGGCTGCGCTCCCGCTGAGCAGGAAGGGCAGTCCGATCTTCGGCGACTGTCCTCGCTACAATATGCAGAAGCAATCAGCCGCGGTCACTTTCATTCGCATTGACGACAGACTGATGAAGACAGTAACCATTTTGGAATTTCGTCCTGAGTGACTAACGTGGATGATGTCGTCGGAGGCAGTGCTCAAATTCCTGAAGACATCAGACTTGAGCCCGCGGTTATAGGTCAATGGTGTTATGACTTTTGAGGTGTGTGACATTGTGCGTAATCTATCTATCTATCTATCTATCTATCTATCTATCTATCTATCTATCTATCTATCTTTAAAATTCACTCATTCCTTTCCCCTGTGTGTAGGTAGCATATCAGCTTTTCTATAGCGGTTAACATTCGTGCATTTTCTCACTCTTTTAGTCCCTCCTTCCTTCCATCTAATGCATGAATCTAAGTTTGTACAAGTAAGCTTATCGTTATGGTCAAATTTTAGAAAGGAGGCCCCCGAAGCATTGCTTAATGGGACCAAATATTTCTTGGTTTTTCTCTTACCTTTTTTAGCAGGGCAACCTTGATATGTCTCACGGGAAAACAGTGCAGACTACGTGACAGTGAAACGCACGGAACACAATGTAGCGCTGTATCAGGCTGACCTCGCTGTCGTTTACTAAACCTGCATCTCGCACCCCCTTAACAGAGGCAGGAGGAGGAACGTCGCTGAAGTCACAGTTTCTACATGTGGATTTGTCCTCTACACGCCAGGGACATCTCAATATTACATGCCCAGTGATAACTTGGGATCTAACGTCGGTCTGTGTCTTGCCTGTAGAATTTCTGCAGGTCGCAATTAGACTCGGTATACGCGACATACCGGTAACTTATGCAAGCGACGCAAAATTATAAGAGAATACTGAGTTCTGAAGTGATGACAAATCCTTGAACGAAGAATTTCCCCAGTGCCAGGGACGTAGACAAATTTTTTTCGAAAAAAAAAAAGGAAGGGGCATAAACCCGGTGTGCCACTCCCTCGTTACGTCACTACCCGAAGCCATCGTTTTACCTTTACGGAGGCAAGACCCCTCCATTGATGTTCTCCGTTCAACTATATTTTATTGTATGTAAGCTAAGTGTTACACTGTGTATATTATGTACTTACGTAGTTTTGATAGTGGGTGCCAACTGGGCGTGTGATCTTGGATAACGCTAGTGCTTCATCTTCGATAATAGAATGCGATAGCGTTATCGGGCCCCGTGCGCTCCACGGTCCTGCTTCGGTTTTCGGTGGATGCATAAATAATTCCGCAAGAAAACGTGCGCGTAACCCTGGACGTGTTTCAAAGGCTATCATATATTGCCTACTGCAAGTATACATTGACGAAGTGCCCACTATGCCATAATTATTCATTACGTGTAATTAGTTAAATGCGAATTATGCTCCCGTAAGACGAACCTACGCAGCTGTTCACTTTCTTTATGCTTTTGTTGGCGGTGATGATTAAGCCTGTCTGAGTGCTTTGTTATGCGTTGGCTTTCAAAGGACACCGACTCGTTCAGCATTTCACAAGTTCTGACGCCTGGCCCGATTCTACACTCTTTCCCGCAATATTGCACGCGTTATAGGAAACTCCTGCCATTAAACAACGCATTAACATGACGTTTTTTCGTTTTATTTTGTTAGGTGATTTCAAGTAGCGGAGTGGCTCTGTTGTAGAACACCTTCTTGCAAAGGTTTCCGTTCGATTCTCGCTCTAACGAAAGATCTTTATTACTCAGTTAGATTTTATTTTTCCCAATTTTTCTTTCACAACCAGTGACGCCGACACCATTATTTCTGCGAAACAAGCTCTTTAACGTTGTCTCGATAATACATAGTCGTACATGATATCGTATCTACATCCAATATGCGAGCCGCCACGGCGGCCTAGTGGTTATTGTGTGTGACTGTTGACCCGAAGGTCATGGGTTCTAATCCCGGCCGCCATAGACGAACTTTCATTGGAGGCCAAAAAGCTTGAGAACTACGTGCTTAGATTTAGTTCCAATCGAAAGAACAATATTTTGTTCGAAAATTTCCGCAGTCCTCCACTACGACGTCTCTCATAATCACGTCGTGGTTCTGAGTCAGTAAACCCCAGCGCAACGAAAGCAGTGGACATGTAGCTCGAGTATAGAGAAAAAAGAAGAAGACGTGCTGTGATTGCAGACTTGCATTCAGTTAGCTCTTGCGCTAAATAAATCTCTCGTTCACCGAGTCAACTCCTGCTTGTTCAACACCTCTTTTCAAGTGGTGGAGGTGCTGGGTGTTACGCCCAGTAATTATATTATCCGGTATGTCAATATGCGTACATATATTCAGTATCGCATAGCCAGTCACTTCACATAGTCTGCACATGTATGTCACATGCCCAGTGCTCTATACTAAGCTTTGTATGTAAGCTATGTATACACGCATATGCCACATGTACGCGCGTGAGTAGTAAATATCAAGTACGCGGTGTGTACGTCACAACCACAGTGACAACCTCCCGGTGGTATATGTACCCGGTGGCCCACAGGTGGCGACCAAGCTGCCCGCTATGCAAGGCAGCATTCGCGAATTGCGAGAAGTGTCTAAAAATGCTTCCTTTGAATATTCGTTGTGTTCCACGCTGTTTATTTCCGTTTTCTTCTGTGTTCATGGCTCAGTTGGAACAGCGGGTTCCACGGCATTCTTGTCTGAAAATACACGGCCGATGGTCAGTAAAGGCGTCCACCAAACATGTTTTACTAAAGAACAAAAAGAGAACAGCCAAAGACTTCGGTAACAGTAATAGAAAATTAAGCTTACTTTTCCTTTGGAAGATCTTCAACTTGCGAACGCTTTGCCATGCTTTCGACAAGGCATCTTTCACTGAAAATACGTTGGAATTAATGTTGTGTAGTAACTTATAAGAAGAAGTAACTCAAATTGCACTCGTAGTAATATGTTGCGCTAAAGCTCGGAAAATTTTAAAGTTGTTGCCTTATTAATTGCTTTATAAGTAAATGTTTGTTAACACAAAATGTTTTATTGCAGGGTCCACCAAAACTTCATTGACGTATTTCCGTCACGGAAATACGTCATTAAAAAAATGCACGCAGTCAGACAGCAAAAAAAAAATGTTTCGTCAATGAGAGTTGAACGCACAACCTCTCGGTCGGTGCCAAGAGATACCGCGCCCCATGTTCTCCTTTTTTTTTCAATTCGATGGATTTTACCAAGTTTTAATGAAAAACAGAATGAAAGCTTATGAAAATGAGCAAACATTGATCAACATGAATGTGAGTAACCCTTCCGCACACTTTCGCAAGTTGACATGACCTTCAATCATGCTTGAATCAACCATTTACGCACTTCTCTCACATAATTACCTGCATCGCTTGAGAACAAGTTTATGCATTTTCATAGTGTATATATATATATATATATATATATATATATATATATATATATATATATATATATATATATATATATATATATATATATATATATATATATATATATATATATATATATATATACACGTCCAATATCATCCTCTCCTTGTGGTTATAAAGTTATATTTATGTGCATTAAAGCTATAGTTTTCTCTATATCTCCATCTCCTACACACAGGGGTTGACGTTGGTAGATTTACGTAAAGAGTCATAAACAAACAAATTTTATGCACGAGTCACCTACCTAGTTTTCCAGCGTATGCGATATCCGAAAGCACTCTCGATAACCTTTGCACGTCAACCGCTGAGCCTGCAGCGCTGTCTACTGGAAAAAAAAGTAACGAAGTAAACAGCGCGAAAATAAGATATTGGCCAGGCCAACTGGCACATCACCATAACTGAGAACCGCGTTACGACATTGTTCCTAACATCAAAGCAAAAAAAAAAAAAATCGGCGAAGGTAGAGCTGCGCCATAAATGGGTAAAAGCGCATGAACTTGGGCATGTTGGTACATAACCATAGTAGAAAACAATGCAATATACAGAACGAAATTCCGCACAA